GTTGCGGTACCTTTACGCCCAAGAAAAACCAACGCAATTTTTTATTACAAAATTTTATGAGATATACCTACTACTTTAATTTTGCAGGAATATTAAATGGACCTGATATACGACGTTTAATGAAAGATCAAGCATTCAAAAATGCTCTCAAAGTTGACGAGCTTGTCGCATATGGCAGTGTTAAAGCTGTCATTAAAAATGTTGTTGGTTCATATTGGGCCTAATATTGGCGCCAATTAATTGAAAAAATGCTTGTCATTTTGCAAAGAATTAGCGTTAATATGTCATTTAAAATACATTTTCTTTTTTTTTCTTCCTGATAAATTTGCCGAACTGATGAACATGGAGAACGATTTCACCAAGTAATTGCAAATCTAGACCATTGGTAGATATCTATGGGTATAGCGGAAAGAAGTTGGATTCATTGCTAGGAGACATTTGCTGGAATTTGCAGCAAAAGATGTACGACGATGATGACGATTAAGCACAATAATACTATAATCCAATTTGATATTTGATACGATTTAATAAATTTAAGGTAGAATAAAGCAAAATTATAAAATGCATTAAATTTTTAGGGCTTAATTTGGATAAAAAATACTGAAACTTGTTTACTTTGTTACCCTTTCAATTTAATAATTAAAATAAACTACAAAAAATGTCAAATAATAGTTGTTTTTTTACATAAAATGCATTAAGATTTTAGTTTTAGTATTTAAAATGTCATATTGTTAAAATAACTATGATCTATTTGCCGTATACCAATTACTTTAGTACATTCAAGATAAATTTAAGCTAAAATAATTTAATAAATAATTAAAATACCAACAAAAACTTACATTTTAAGGTGATTGAACAGAGCATTTTATTACGAAATTATTTTAAATCCTAGAGGTCCTAGAGAAAAACTAATTACATTTTTGAATTCAGCGGCCCAAAATTAGTTAAACTAAGCTGGAGTACTTAATGTTAGGAAAAAAAAGTTTGTAAAACTATCATAGTGTAATTATCGAATTTAAACAAAATGATTTTTATTTAAAAAAATAATTAATCGGTATTCGTTTAATTAAATGAATTTAAATATTATTATAGCTGTAACAAAAAAAATATCAAAATATTTTCTTTTTTTCTGAGATTATTTAAAAAAAAACGTTAATAACTTTCAAACCGTAACTGCATAACTGCAACATAATAAAGTACTCCTTAAGGCGTATGACATTTTTATTGCTAGGCAAAAATGTGTTAACTACTATATTAAATATTATAGCTTACCATATTATTGCTTAGCTATAAAACGATATACGAATTTTTAACAACAATATAACAAATAAAAGGTTTTTATTTGTTAATAATTATCCATAATTAAAATGTTGGAAGATTTTGAAACATCATTTTTAGCTTAGGTTCATCTGACATTTTAGCTTTAGGTATTTCGGTACAAAGTTTTGTAATAATTTGACTTTTTAACTAGTATTAATATGATGCCTTTCTATATAGACTTATAATTATTATAATTTAAAATGTATTGTTTATATAGGTATATATAAAAGCATACTTACATTGAGCTTGAAAAAATTTTATTAATTTAATTTAATGTTTTTGAATTAGTTTATATAAATAAACTTTTTGTCCAGAAAAAGTAATTAAGTCCATTTACAAGTAGATGAAGATAAAAATATAAATTAATTTTTTGAATTGGGGATGTAACTCCAGTTAATTTGGGTTTTTACATATTTTTAAAAGATAAGTGTAAAGTAGAAATTACCCTTAACCTAAAGAAGGTTCCGCTTAGTTGTAGGCTATTTATCTATTGGCTACAACTTGTAGCCTATAGATAAATTAGTAAAACAATTAAAACTAAAGTGAACAGATTCTGTCAAAAAAAGGAGGATATGTTTTTGACAGTGGCATTTTACTTTTATTATTTATCATTAAACATTGTTTGATCTTTAAAAAATCCAAACATAACATAATTTAATGTGAGTATGCTTTTATTCCTAAATAAACACATTTAAATTTATAATAATACTAGACATTTATTGATATTCATAAAATAACAATACAACCACAGACCAGATCTATAAATACAACAATCAAAATGTTATTGACCTGGGTACTTCAGCCCACAATCCACACAACAAGGCCTTTTTAACTCGTTTCGCGCATATCAAAAATGACGAAGTTGGACATCCCACTGCACAAAATTTAACGGCGGCCATTTTTATGTTGTTTACAATTCTCGTGCTTTGGGTTTGTGATGTTCATTAGGGTGTCTGTTATTTACCAACATGGTTTTTTTTCGCAGCGCCCCCTAAGTTTTTAGTTTATGACCTAAAAAAAATTATTAGACTCATATAAGACCTTAATTTTCATATTCAACCTTGCCACAAAGACGATACATTTCCCATTTAAATAACCTGGGGTTTCGGCACATTTTACATTTATTTTAATATACAGCAATAAGAGACATATATTTTATAGGAAATTGAACGCTGTACAAAAAAGATTTTTCTATAAATTCACTGGTTTAAAAGTTATTTAAGGTTAAAGTTGAACTTTGCAAGCGATTGTTTATTAAAAACGAGTGTCTAGATAAGTTTATAGAGTTGCATACTATACTCTATCTACGGCGAACACAAAGACAAATTTAAAGCCAATTATATTTGTTAAACATTTGACATCTGTCAAACGTCAACGGAATTAACCTCACTTTTTTCTAATTCAGCCTGTGACTAAAATGCCCAAAAGCCAGTATTGCCAACTTCAGCCCGTGACTAAAACGCGCAAGGTCACAGCTCTTCAATGTAGAAGTAGATAATGGTATATTATGTATCAAGTTTGATAAACGCCATTTTATACACGAATTTAATTTAGGCACGAGCGAGCTTGCGAGCGAGTGCTTAAATTAATGAGTGTATAGAAAAGTTTATAAACGAGGTGCATACTATACTTTTTCTACGACAAATACTTATTATTAATTATCTTAAAATGATTTAATCAAAAATTTGTATAGAGCGCCATCTATGAAACAATAGGGGAAACTGTCACCGTCAAATGTCACATTTTTTTATTTTATAAGCACAATTATAAAGGTTATAAATCGAAATGTATTTCTTGAAAATTGACAGTTTTTCACAGTGAGAGTAAAAAAAATGTTTTATGACGACTTTACAGTAGAGTCCGTGCCCGAATTTAAGTTATAGTTTACTGCCGGCGAAATTAAAAGGTCAGTACAATGTTCATATAAACTTTTCAAATATTGGCGTTGAGAAACTATTTAATACTTTTGTATTTTTGTATTGAGATAATAAAATAATTTTCACATTTAGTATTATTTTACAAGAAAGGCACTTTATTTTAACGATTGTATGACATTTGACAACTGTCAACTAACTTAAAACTTACTTCAGCCCGTGACTAAAAACCTGTTGCTAACTTCAGCCCGTGACTAAAGCGCCATAAAGCCACAACTTGTCAATGTGTATTTAAAAGGTCACTTAGTGTCATGGAAACATATACCATTGACTTTACTCAACGCATGTACGATGAAGGGCGCTTTAAAGGTGGGAGTAGAAAAATACATTTAACTTATTTGAAAAGAAGAATTTGTGTAGCAGAAATGTCTGCATCTCATCTCAAGACAACGTATGCATTGTATAATATTTTATAAAATCGTATAAAATTTTGTAGAATTTCACAAAAATAAAAATATTATGTAAAAAATAATCGTACTAAATTGAGTAAAACTAGTACCAGATTCGTTTAATGTAGGTAATATAAAAATTAATTTATCGGAATCTCTTGTCAATAATTTTTACTTATTTTTTTTAATAATTTTTACTTTTTTAATAATACAATAAAATCACATATTTTCAAAAAAATAACAATTCATTTTCATAAAAATAATGATAATTTTGAAGTCAAAGTAAAAAAATTAAAAAAATACTGTCTGTTACTGTTAAGTAACCTTAAAAAACTTTTAAACCAGTAAATTTATCTAAAAAATCAGAGGAAAGCTTTTTTGTACAGCGTTTAATTTCCTATTCCTCCTATTGCAGTATATTAACTTGCTCGGGAGAAAAAAAATTAAATGTAAAACGTGCCGAAACCCCATGTTATTTAAATGTATCGTCTTTGCGGAAATGTTTAATATGAATATTAAGGGCTTATATAAGTGATAATTTTTTTTAGGTCGTAAACTAAAAATTTAGGGGGTGCTGCGAAAAAAAACCAAGTTTGTAAATAACGAATATACAGATTAATTATCGTTTCAAACGTTGTGTTTTCCACAGAGGCACATGTGAGCTTCAATATTAATATTAATAGTATTACATATGAGAAAATGAGCATAAATTAAAAAAAAATTATTAATCGTTCTATAATTTAAGCATTGCTATTGTCAATGCTCACTACCAAAGTATTTGATTATTTCCTAGGCTGTAAAGATAATTTGGACCAATAAAAAAAATTCGATAATTGCTGGCAGCTCTGAAGCTACATAACCTCACTTTATACTTAACAATTATTATTATTTAAATTGTAAGTACGTTTTATGTATCGTTTAACAAATAAAAATGGTCCTTAAAGATAAAATGTTGTATTCCATTGAAGAGTCTTTTTGTGCTCACTTCTTAACCTTATAAAATATGTAAATAACTAAGTTTGTAATGTATTAAAAAAATAAAATAATCATGAATACATAATATATATTGTATTTCTCTTTTATAAAAAAAAAGTAATCAATTGGTTACATAAACATCTATTATTTCAATATCAAATCAAATTTAAGTTTAATGATTTAAAACAATAAAAAAAAGAGGTTGCATAATTTGCCAAAACAATTTCAATTTGCTTTGCTTGAATTAGAAATCGGTCAATGTTTATTACATTGCATCGTAATTTTAAATTTATATAAGAGTAAGTAAATGTTACGTGCTTTACGATTATTAGAATGTGAATATTTTAGAGACAAGTAAAATTTAAGAATACATTGATGCTTATGATCCTAGAATAAAAACTAATTTTCTAAGGTTGGGAAATGTTAGCATTAGACTTGCAGCATTGTAAAGACAAATTCAAGGATATCAAGTAATGAAACAAGATACATTGGCATAGTTTGGATCTTAATGATTTATATATTTTTAACTACACAAATATTAAACCATATTCTAAGCTTAATATTACATTACATTCAGTTTAGCGTTGACAAGAATTTAAATTGTTTGTTTTCTTTTGCAGAATAAAATGCAATTTCCCAATGAAGTTAAGGCGGAGTTAAATTTGGACGAACCGGGCGAAAAACTTGTACAGTATGCTAAAGAAAACCTTGGCGAAGATCCTGCCACAAGATGCCAAGTTCTTTCGGATTTTAGGGATTTGATTTTTGGTAAGTAATTATTTCATTTATAATAAATTAAAGCTAGGCAATTAAATATAGCCCAGTAAAATTATAAATAACAAAACCTTTTTGTTAAGAACTTTATTTTTATGTTCTAAATAAATACAGAAAGTGACCTTAGTTTGGGCCGTAACTGTTTTATCTGTGAAAACAATTTTAAAAAACTTAACCTTAAAACCAAAACATCTATCTGCAAGGTGACAGTATCAATAATAAAATGAAGGTCAAATTATTTCTACAAGTGTTAATTTTTATTTAATTTTTGATATTATTGTAAAACAAAATAATATGTGAAACTCTTAAAGAATGGTCGATTTAATCGGATTATGAATTCGCTTTCCTTCCACGCTAGCTTTGCTCGCGTGTCAAACAAATGCTCGTTCATAACACTGTGCGACAATTTTCGGGTCATCGAAATCAAACCGCACCGGACCATTTTTTTCTGAAAATATACCTATCCAATAGCAAAACCCTCCCTGGGTTTGTAAAAGTTAGCTCGAATTTTTTTTATGGCCGTTTTTATTTTCGAGCTTCATATATGAAGTATATATACCCCAATTTAGACCTATAAATCGATTTTTCGCATAAATTCGATTTATATCGTCAAGATTTTTTGTAGAAATGTAGTTACTGCACTAATAAACCCATTTTGTGAACAACCTTTATCCCAAAAACCCAATTTTTGGGACCAAATATTCGAAAAATTATTATTGAGTAATCTGATTCATTGCTGAAGAATTCCATCCCTTCCACTTCTCTCCTTTATTTCCTTGCTCTTCATTTTCATTTTTTGATTCATCACTGGAGAATTTCATCCCTTCCACTTCTCCTTTATTTTCTTGTTCTTCATTTTCAGTTTCCTTCTGATCGAAGTCTAAAATATGTTTACTTCACCAAAATGTTTCGGCTAGTATGGCATCTGGAGCTCGTTTTCCTCTTTATCTGGACTCAAAATTTGATTTAATGGCATCGCAGTTTGATGATTAATTATTTATTTATTTTTTATTATTTTTAATGTGCTTTCAACAGGCACCAGGCCCAATTACAGAAATACACAATGACAAACACAAATAAACAACCATACCCCTGGTGGGATTCGAACCCACGACCTCTCGGCTTGTAGTCCGCAGTGCTAACTACTACACCACCGAGGGCGATTTTGTCGATAACTGTCGACTGAAGTAGTCCAAATGGCGATGAGGGAAATGAATTTTTAGCGACATATTGACTCCAATTTTGGAGAAAAAAACATCCAAAATTCGTCGCACATATCCTTCATAATTGGGAGAACGATGTTTGCCTAAAAGTCTAACGATGATTTCTCTTATCGACGCCCACGCAACTATATCATTGTCAACCAAGGCCCTGTCAAAGTCTTCCGAAATGAAATGAATATAAAAAATATATGAAATGAAGGGAGGGAATTCTCCAGTGATGAATCAAAAAATGAAAATGAGAACAAGAAAATAAAGGAGAAGAAGTGGAAGGGATGGAATTCTCCAGCAATAAATCAGATTACTCAATGTTTTGATATAAAAAGTTTTTTAATAATAAAATTAATAAAAAAAAAAATCAAACTCTCTGTACTTTTCTACAATTCTATTTTATCTATTAAATTTTTTTCTACAGATTTTCCAAATATTTCGGCAAAAATATTGGTGTTGAGTATGAAAATATTTTGGAAAATCTTGTTTAAAAATTGTTTTCCAGCAAATAAGTAAATTTAAAGTTAAAGTTACTTCTTTTTGTATACTTTACAACATTTTTGCCAGAAGAAGTAGCAAGAAATTTTAAATATTATTGAAAAAATTGAAAAAAAATAGTTTTTCGAATATTTGGTTCCAAAAATTGGATTTTGGGATATAGGTTGTTCACAAAATGGGTTTATTTGTTCAGTAACTTACATTTCTACAAAAAATCTTGACGATATATATCGAATATATGCAAAAAAATCGATTAATAAGTCTAAATTGGGGTATATGAAGCTAGAAAATACAAACGGCCATAAAAAAATAAATCGAGCTAACTTTTACAAACCCAGCGAGGATTTTGCTATTGGATAGGTATATTTTCAGAAAAAAATATTCCGGTGCGGTTTGATTTTTGGTGTTGCAAAGTGTAATCTACCATTTTCTCAACTCGTGGCAGAATAAACTTATATCTTTATTTTAGGATAATAATAAATATAATAGTTTAAAATGAACTAAACTAAAATTCACGTAAATACTGAAAACAGTATTACGATCACACGGTCTGCCTGAACGAAGTTTAAGTCACATAAAATTCATGTTTTTTTTTTAATTTTTGTTTATTTCAAGGTCTACCTTTGACAGAGTACACATTTGTACACCGATTTTTAAAAAATTATATAGAGTATATTATTGGGGAGACTTAGAGAATACTTTTTAATACTGTTCACATCATTTGATATATACAGGGTCAGCCAAAAATCGCATATTTTTAATAAAGCCAAAGCGTAAATTCATGATTTTCGCATAACGCGCAAAAATATTTATCCCCATTTTTTTTTAGATATTTCTACGTTTATCAGGTTACAAAATGGTATTCTTATTAACCTTTTATAAAAAAATAGATTTTTAATCAAAAATAAATAAAATAACGCTTAGAGAATATTTAAAATGTTGTTTAATTTAGGCTTTTTAGTAGTTTCCATTTTGAACGAAAAACTGGTTGAAGTTTTTTGATCGGCACTCTTTAGAGATTTGAAAAAGATATTTACCAAAATTCTAACTGCTTTTTTAAAATTTGTTAAAAAATCATTTTTTTTAACCCTTTATAGGATACTGGTTGATATTTTAACCAAGCCAAAAAATATATGATGCAAGATAGATAGCGGTCTAATTTTTAGCCAGTTGATCCTTGGCGTACTGTGGAATAAGATACTGGGTCAAATTTCGACCTGTTTCTGTAAACGGGTAAAGAAGGGGGAAACCGGTCGAATTTTTAACCAGTGTCCGCCACCACAAATAAAATGCTACACGTGTTTTGAGAAGTGTATTTTGTGTATTTTTATTTGAAGGATTGTAGTGCAAATTGGTGGTAAGTAGAACAATAAGTGTAGTAATACGATGCAGTAATCGTAATTGCCGTATATGTTTGGGCTAGGATAATATTTATGATATTATTGGCATAACCTCATTTATGCTATTGCCAATAGAAAAATAACTAGTGTATACAGTGTATATATTACATTCATTTCAAAATAATTTTGTCTAGCAATAAAATATAGGTATAAAAATAGGTTTTTGTTTATTTTAAAATTTAAAAATGTTTTGCCTAACTCGTAACTAATAAAAATTATTTACTTATAGGCCTAGCCTAGCAGCTAGAGAGATTGTGGTTGAAATTTCAACCTGCTTAAAATAAATATACCAAAAACATTTTTTTTTGTTTTTCTTCAATTTTTACCATCTTACACCCCCAGCCAACAAGTAACCGAAAAAAAAATGTTGTTTTCTGTTTTTCATTAGGTATCTGCCCTATAAAGGGTTAAATACGAGGTTATATATCATGAATTTTCAAAAAATTTCGAACAAAGTCACCGAAGGGTCCCGAACAAGAAACTGCAATCAGTTTTTGGCGGCATTTTTATGTGACTTAAACTTCGTTCAGGCACACCGTGATCAAGTGTTTTCGAAAAGTTTATAAAACAAGACTACCTCAAAGAAGAATTTAAACCCACTTTTATTTAACCTTACATTTTCCTAATTTATAATAAAGAATATAATAGAATAGATTTTATTTGTTCCAAGAAATTGCAATAAGTACAATATAGAACATCTCAAAACAAAGTAAACATTAAAAAACTATAAACATACAAAAAACTCTTAACTAAAATTAAAAATCATTAACACAGTAATCACATCTGTTTACAAGATATGCTCTTAATCAAGATTTAAACTCCTTTTGATTTTGATTTTTTATATATAAAAAATCAAAATCAAAAGGATTTTAAAACTTGATTAACAACTATAGTTGTTGGTAATTTATTAAATAAAATCAAGGCAACATTTTAAATACCCTTGTATTCTGGTCTGATTTATTAATGTCATATCTTTGTTTCTAGTAGAGTACGAATGTTCTCTAGTGTTACTAAAAGGAGAATATTTTTTTGAAGAAAAGTAGCGTTTCAAATAAATAAATATCTGGCAATGTAAGTAAATTGTTCTTTATAAATGTTTGTTTACATGATTCGTTGAATTCCAAATCAAAAATACACCTTACAATTCTTTTCTGAAAAACAAATAAATCCTTTGTATGAGATGAATTGCCCCAGAAAATTATGGGCCCAAAAACCACTGTTTCCAAGTTTAGCCCGTAAATAAAACGCCATAAAACAGTCATATTAATAATATGATATTATGCCATTTTAGTCTCGAATTTTAATTAGTCACGAGCGAGAATCCGAGCAAATGTTTAATAAAAATAAGTGCCTAGAAAAGTTTTTAAGTAAGTTTCTACGAAAAATATTATTATAAAAAATAGTTTATTACCATTTAATTAAAAAATTTGTATATAGCGACATTTATACAAAAATAGAGTATCCAAAATTGGTGTTCTGGAATCTGTTTTACCGGCTTTTAAAATTCCATAACAACCGTTTAAATCCGATATAGAAGCAGTTTTTAACAGTGAAAGTAAAGAGGATATTTTATGGGAAATTAAGAATGCTTTATTGGCAAATACTTGTTTGCCGCCGGCAATAATTTTGTATTTTTTGTATTGAGATAATAAAATAATTTTTAGTAAGTAAGTATTAAAGATTATAAGTATAAGTATTAATCATAAATTTAATATTTATTTTGAACAATTAAAAGACGTTTAAAAACTGCCAAAAAAACTTAAATCTAACTATTTGTTCCATATTATATTATATTTTTATAACAGAAAACATTTGCATTAACTTATTAAGAAATAGTATACCTACTTTCATGTTTAAAATTATTTAATTGTTGATTTAAATTAAAATGCTTTGTTTGTTTTCAAAGAAATAATCATCAATTATACATATAACAACCTGTGAATCATGCTGTAAATACTATTGTTTGTTGTGAACGTACCTACTATAAATGGAAAATATAACCTTAGACAAAAATTGTTTTTTAAGACTAAACCTCAATTTATTTTTACAATACATTTTTATTTATTGTAGGTAATATTGTGAAAACAGTAATTTGTTAAAACCTTAAAATATTTTTTTTGGCAAAATGTAATGTTACTGTATGTACAAGCATTAATATAGCAAAAGCATTGAGCATGGACCGCCCCTAAATACTTTTTTGATGAAATATTATTTCTTTAGGATTTCAATAATTTCCTAATCACATTACAACATCCAGCGTAGATTTGCAATTAAAATTTTAATATTGTCATGTTTCAGTTTTTTTATGTTTTAAGTGTGTATACATACACTATAGTGAATACAAAAATAATGAATTGGATGAGTTGATAATTTTAGTTTAGGACTTAAAAAAATATTAAAAAGGTAATTTTTTTACTGTCAAAAACGTTCATTGTATATACACCATAGTAGGTCCTAGAATAGGATCTCTCGTCTTAATTGATGCTTCGGTTTTTGTCAGAGTCTTTAATGATCAATGATCAAAGGGCAAATTCAGAATTAGCTGTTTTACCACTTAACCCTAGACATTCACAAATAAACATCCATCCCCATGTGGGATTCGAACTCACGACCACTTGGCTTTTAGTCCTCTTTTTTAATTGTTTTTTGTAAATAACCTAATTGTCCTATACCTACTCAATTTTGTTGTAATTTGGCAGTGTTATTTGTAGTGTTAAGGTGCTAATTTTGCTCTAACTAGATTAAATTTATTAAAATAATGTACGCCACTGACTTTTTTTATTTTGTAGTGTCAATTTAGCTCTAGTCTCGATTAAGCTCTATTTAGCTCTAACTAGATTAAATTTATTTAAAAAATGTACGGCACTGACTGCAATTAAGTGGATTTTTTTTTTTTTAAACTAAAAAAAATAGAAACAACATTAGAGAGACAAAAAAGTTGTATTTTTAGTTTGCTTAATCCAAAAATATATAAAAATTACAAAAAAGTAATGCAATAAGGTGGATGTAATTTTTTTCAACAGCATTCAAGAGACAAAAAAGTTTTATTTTTATATTGCTTGATCCAAAAAATATAAAAATTACAAAAAAGGCAGTGGCGTACTTCTTTTTGTCAAAAATATTCATTAAGGTTTATTAATCTTGAAAAGTAAGCATTAGCGGACCCATGTTTATAAAAACTGTTTGTCTTAAAATCACTCAAAGAATCGTCTGTCAAGTATATGAGATTTTTATATAAGAATTGTTTATTTTAAGGATAAAAAAATGAAACATTTATTAAAAACCTTTTCAATTTTCTCTTTTTAATTTTTGAAAAATGTTTAAACCCGGGCCTGGATAAATTATAATAATAAAATTAAAAAATTACATAATCCACAATGCTGTTTATAAAAAGTAAAGTAGTTTCGTATAAAGTAAATTAGCCCTGGGCTAAAAAACTCGTTTTTCATAATCTTTATTTTTTTAAAACTAATTGGTTGATGGCATATGAAATTGCGGATTTTTTTGACTTTCTTTATTGGATAATATATAACAAAATTGTTTTTTTGTGCTTTGTTTAAATTACCAATTTGTATGTGAATTTATACAGCACAATATGCCCCTACATAAAAATAAGCGCAAAGGAGTTTTTTAAAAAATCACTGCTTACTACCTAAAAACTCCTCTGTTTCGTTTTCTTTGTGCCACCATGTTTATGTAAGTTTTTAGAGATCTTATAAAAAAATGTTCCTTCTTATTTTTTTTAAATTAATTAATAATATTTATATTTTTAGCGAAGGGAGAATGTGTCCCACACAGGACCGACGACGAATACCTATTAAAATTCTTAAGATGCCGCAACTTTGTGATAGAAAGAGCCCACAGACTGGTAAGCGCACAAATCTGTATCTTAGGGGCGTTGTAAAGCATGAAACATTTAATTTAAAATATTTCAATTAAATAAACATTATGTCAGTTCACTAAAATATAATGTTGCAATAACGTAATTTGTGTTTCACATTTATTAATGGTACCGACAGATATATTTCAAGGATCATGATATCAAAAATACATTATATTGGTAATAATAATTACTAACTGATTCTATGACATTATAATTATATATTGTGTTTTATTTGTTTGTATGGATATGACTGGAAATATCAGTTCTGGCAACAATAAACAGATATCTATGGTTTGTTTATAATTAACCTTAATTACGGATAATTAAACAGAATAATGTATATTAGAAAGAAAAAGTAAATGTTATATAAAAACAGTACTAACCACTTATTTGATGAAAATTACATAAAATCTTGATATATTTAGGTTTTTAGTTGAAATGTATTTTATTTTAGATTTGCAACTACTATGATTTTAAAGAGTCCAATCCAGAATATTTCGAAGGTGTTCATTTAGGAAAATTGTCCAAAATGGGAAAACATGACATTATATCCGTTCCTCCATATAGAGACCAATTAGGAAGAAGAATTCTTTTATACAGAATAGGTAAATTACTAAATTTTAATTAAACCTCAATTGCAATAAATCCAAATGTACGAGTAATACTCTTATTAGGTTTTTTAGTATATTACAATAAACATAAACATTATCAATGTTAAAATCAGGCCCATTATGATATTAATTCAAAATATTTCGTTAAATAATAATAATTATTTTTCATGTAAATGTTAAATTAATCTGTTTAAATGCACTTTTAATTGCATTACTTTCTTTTATCGAGTTCGCATTTTTGGTAAAAAATCATTTTAAAAGTTGTTGACTGATTTAGATGTGTTCAATCTCACCAATGTTGCGTATATAACGGACTTTTCAAAGAATTGAAAAAAATTGTTTCACCTACCTACTTTATTTTATCAGAAAAATAAGATCACCCTGTATACCATACTTTTATTTTTGTATGCAGCTGACTCGTCATGGCAGCATTCGGCGTTGCCAAAGTCCGCTAAACACATTGCGTAATTATTAAGTTAATCTAAAGATGATTCAGTTACAATAACTGAATCATCTTTATAAGTAAATTAACTTAATAATTACCGTAATAGCGGATAGTGAAATACTGAAAGTTATATTATATAACTAGGACCAGCCTGTTCAGTATAGTATAGTATAGTATATTATAGTACAGACCCAGGGCATCCGAACTTTTAAGTAACTGTTACTTAAAAGTTCGGATGCCCTTGGTCTGTACTATAATATACTATAATATACTCAGTATAGTATACTGAACAGGCTAGTCCAAGTTATACAAAGTTTATATACAAAATAAAATAATATAACTTTCAGTATTTCACTATCCGATAGTAATAGAATAGAAAAATTAATTAATTAGTTAACCCTATCAAATCTTTATATATTATTTTCTTTAAATGAATTTGAATATTTATTAGATCATTTATAATTAGATTCAGTATCCCCAAAAACCCCTTCATCCATAATATTTTTCTAAAAATCTGAAAAAAATAATTATGGCGGAATCGAAAATAAAATTTGATTTTTTTTTAACTTGTTAATTGCGATAACAAACCTTGACATTGACCCCCTTTTACCCCCTAACACTGCACGCCAATAATAAATGAACATTTTTACTACGATAAATACTTTATATCTCAAACATACAATGATCATCCAAATTTGAAGAAAATCGCATTAATAATAGCTGAGATATGTAAATGAGAAGCGGAACATCCTATACAGTGTGTTAGTTAGTTAGTTTGGGTTAGTTAGGTTCCAATAAACTTCTTGGATTGTTTACAGACAGGTTTTTATCACGTTGTGATTACGTTACTATAACGTGGAGTTATAGTGGCCAAAACTTAAGCAAAACTTTACTACCCTTTACTTTCTATCCTCGTCTCTTTCCAGCATATTATTTATCTTATTATATTTGCTCTCTTCGAAACTGGACAATAAACTGACATTGAATACTTATATTATTATAATTTAAGAATACCACTTGCTAATAATAACTAGATTTAAAATAATACGACATAAAATTAACACTAATAACATTTTACTGTCAATCATGGGTGTCATAGCCTGAAATATAAGCACGCCCCGTTAAAATATGTGGTAATGAAAAAGAATAGAAAAATTTGCAAACTAAAAACTATTTACCTAGAGGCCTCAAGTACTTTCTAAAACTATACATTTATTTTTCTACAATACCGACTATTTGCTTTTGAATAAGGGAACCTTAAAGTGGTAATCCTATACCTAACAATACATAGAAAAATACTTGGTTTACCTACATAGGTACTTAATATTACAAAATATCTCACACGTGTTGTTTTAATTAACATCACTTTTTATATAAACATATAAACTAACCCGATTTAAAAAATTATCATAAAACATAATTGGTTTAAATGAATCCCGTGCCAATTTTTGCAATTTAAATGTCGGTAAACATTAATTATAACATTTATTTAAATAACTATCATTTATCTAACAAAAATGTTTTTTAGGAAACTGGGACCCAGAACGTTTCTCCACAACCAACATATTCCAGGCGACTCTGATAATCCTAGAATTGGCGATTTTAGAGCCTCAATTCCAGATCGTAGGAGGCGTGTGCATTTTTGATCTGGGTGGCCTGACCATGCAACAGGCATGGCAGATGTCGCCTTCAATTGCTCACCGAGTCGTACAAATTATGGTGGTAAGTACTTTCCACCTGAGCACAATAAAACTAAATGGATTAAATAAGTACAGCGCTGCTAGATTCTGTCTAGTAATTCCGGGTTGTTTTTTTCGCGCTTAAGTGACAAATTGCTTTTTTTACTTTGTCGGTTACATAATTTCAAGCCTTTTTTATACCTTAAAACTATTAATATCTTAATTTAACAGTACTTTCACCAAAAAGTAGGTAACTTCTATAAAGCGGATATAATAATCAATTTATACGACAAGACATTTATAATCTTACTTCCCAATTGGGTACCTATGTATTAATTATAACCTTAGACTGAACTATCTCTTTTTACACTTGACAAACTGTGCCCATTATACCTTAAAAAATAAATCGTCTTAAATAATAATTATTATAATCATCATCCGCAAAAAACCGGCCACCAGAAATTGGCCACAACTTTAATGTTGATTTTCTCACGACCGTTGGAGCGCGCTCATCTGATTTTAATAATTTTTTTAAAATGATGCTATGGCGGACATTTTTATTTTGATTTTTTTTTAGCATATACAGGCTAAGAGCAAGTAAAAGTTTTTTTCCCAACCTTGTGACACCCTGTAGGGTGTATCAGCAATAACAGCGGATGTGAATTAAAATCATATTGTTCTATATTTTCCAAACATTTCACTTTTATAGGTTATTATCTATGTTATTTAAGATTTAAACTAAAATTCTAAAAAATAACGATCAAAATCGGATGAGCAGTTTGCGACGAAATCAACATTAAAATTGTGGCCAATAACTGGTGGTTCATAAGTAAATCTTCTAAGGGGGATGATAGGAATCGAGTTTTATATAAATAAATAAAGTTGTGTTGTTAATATTGATTATATATATATTTATCATTATTTCTGTTAAAATTTATTCAGTTAGTTAGTGACTAGTTACTAATTAGTGTTTCTAATTTTGAAAAAAAAAATTAAAAACTAAATTCTGTAACTTTGGAATTTTCAAACTTAAAAAAATTGAAAATGTTTACTTACCTTGTCATTTTTTACTCGTCAAAACATTTCATTATTATTATTATCAAATAAAAGGGTTAAGGAGGTTTTGAAGAAATAGTCAATCCATCCCAAGTAGCATTTTTATTGGATAAAACGTATTGGCAACTTATACTTTTACTGTTAAGTGTATTACCAAAATCTTTTTCACGTGAAACATGTTTGCCATGGCCCCGTTGAAATAAGTGGTAATGAAAAATAATATAAAAATCTGTAAAAACCAATATAAATTTTCCCAAATATTTAATCCATGATTTTTAATTAATTTTTCTTAAAAAAAAGACAAACATAAATATAAAACAGTGAAAAAGTAATGCCTGTTTTGTATAAAGATTAAATTTATAATAAAACATTCATTTTAAATTGTACAAAAATACGTAACCCATCACAAAAATCCTTAAAAAAGTATCTTCTTGTAAGGTTTTTAGGGTATTTTAACCTAAACTAAAGTCATAAAGGAGAAAGGATATTTCAAAAAGTTAAAATGCATTTTGGGGGAAAAGTAAAAAAATTAAAAAAAAAAAAAATCAGAAACCTAGCTACTTAGAGATTACAAATTTAAATAACTTAAAAAAATCTCTAGAAACTAAAATCTAGGCAGAAGTTTTAGATAAACAAGATCCTAAAAAGGCATATGACATATTTTTGCAAAAATTGAATATGGTATGGTAGAAATTTAACGAGGTAAGTGTCCCTCTCCCTGTCCCTATGGGTGTACCCCAAGGCACAGTATTGGGCCCATTTTTTTTAGTTTAGTTTATATAAACCTTTTGGGTAATTTGAATATACATGGTAAAATTATTTTTTACGCAGGCGATACTGTAGCTATATTAAGGGATAAAACTTGGAATATGGTATTTAAAAAAGCCGAATTGGTTATAAAGACTATTTTAATTTTTAATATATCCCAAATATATCAAAAACTCTTAAATACTCTTAAAATTCATGATAACGATCATTGTTTGAGGGGAATTTTATAAAAACGCATTAAATCCTTTAGAAAAGACTTAAAATAATATAATGTTATTGTCAAAAAACTACAGCTTTACACAACAGCAACAGCAATAAAGAAGCAGATTTATTTAATATTAGAAAATTATACGTATATTAATCTATTTTATGGATATTTGAAAAAAAATAATAAAACACCTTTTTTTGTTACTAGACAAGGAAATTTAATTAAAATAGCTGTATGTACAATTAACTGCCAAAGGAAATTACACTTTTAACAAATTACAAAACTATTAAAACAGAGCTAAAACGTTATATTAACCTTAATGAATTTCAGTTTTTAAAAATCATTTCTGACTAATCTCCTGCAAGTTGCTAATTTTAGGTTCATTTGTTTTTTATTGTTTTTTTTCAATAATATTTTAGTAACAATGTATCTCGTCTTTATCCCTGTTTTTGATTTCCTCTCAAAAAATATTTTTTGCAAAATCAATGGGGTAGTTAAATTTTTTCTGACCTATACTTTTTATGGTTTTATTCAAGGCGTTTTGTAATATTAAACATTTCTGTGAAATCAGAATTTCAATTCAGTTTACCGTTTTCGAGATATTTACAAAAAATATAAATTTGTATGACGTAACAAACCTCGCCATGTGTCCAACATTCTAAGATTTCTATTGGTTGAAAATTACCCTGTTGTCAAGTTGTCTTGTTAATGATTTCATTCGGTTATGTCAGAAAATACCCGAAAAGGTTATGTACAAATACTGTCACTGTCAGTTGAGTGAAAGATGGTCACCAAATTCATTAAGTACCTATCTTCCTTATTACGAGGTATTATATTACTGTTTGATATTTTAGAGTCCAAGATATATCTAAAAGAATATAAAGAACTAGGCATTATACAAATGAAATGCATTTACGACAAAATATGATTATAATTATAGGTAGGTACTTACTTTATTTGTTTAAAAGCTCCAATGTTCAATGTAACCAACCATTCCACAAGATTCCTCTGCTTTGGAGTCCGTTATTAATAAATCACTTTTCTAATATCAATTACAAATAACATAACAATAACATTGATTTTCAATAATCTAAATTTAAAAAAAAACATAACCCGAAAAAAAGAAACGTCAAAAAATCAATTCATCTTCTTCTTCTCAACTAAAATTATAGATCAAGTGGTTTTAAAACCAAAATATTATAACGTGGCGCCATCTATCGTAAGAATCTTAAACTAAACACACTGGCAACCATAGAAAAAGCTGGCAACGTTGTCAATAGCCTAGTGACGTAATTAGGAGATTTATTTTTGTAAATATCTCGAAAACGGTAAACTCAATTGAAATTCCGATTTCACAGAAATGTTTAAAATTACAAAACGCCTTGAATAAAACCATAAAAAGTATAGGTCAGAAAAAATTTAACTACCCCATTGTACTACATTATACAAATTAAACTCAAATTAATTAAAAAATAATATTAAAGTATTCAGTTTCTTGGGTCTAATGTTAAAACTAGTTTTAATAATAATAACTTAAAAATGTAATTTTTATGATGTCTTTTGTATTTTTTAAATTTAATTGAATTGAAATTGAATTAATATAAGGTAACGAGTTTTTGCGAAAAAATAATAATATGTGATATAATAAATATTGAAAAAAAATTATGAAAAATGTACGTAGCTATTCTTAATTTACGTTAAATTAAGAAAATTAACCTTTATAACCATTTTTATGCAAATTTTCATGAAGAACAATTTTTTAGTTAAATTTCTAATTTGCCATAAAATATCAATCAATTTTCATTTAAAAAAACATATTTTATAGTTATAGGAACAATTTAAATTTATTGATTTATTGATTAAATATTGATAATATTTATAACATTAATACTTTTTACACTAATTGTTACATCAATTTAAAATTATCTATATATTTTAGACATGCTTCCCCCTAAACCTGAAAGCAGTTCACATTGTAAACCAACCCTGGATCTTCGACATGGTCTACAACATCTTCAAGCCCTTCATCGATGAAAGAATGAAGGAACGGATCTTCTTCCATGGAGATGACATGGATAGTCTCCACCAGCACATCGACCCCAAATGCCTACCGGAAAGATACGGGGGACTGCACCCGGACTACAACTACAACGACTGGATCGAAGGATTCAAAAAATCGGAAAAAATCGAGAAAGAGTTGGAATCACTGGGTTATCAAACTAAAAATATTGAAGAGAATGAGGATGATGAAAATGAAAAAAATGATTCTGATTAACTAGGTTAATTTTGTATATAACTAGAGTAATATATTTTTTTACATCACAGTTGCCTTTACTGGAAATTATATTGTAATGCATTTATATATTTTGGTCTATACACCAAAAATATTAGTGGTTTAAATTGATTTTTGTATAATAATTTGATAAGGAATATAATCAATATTTTTACGAGCATTTTGATTAAAAATTATTGTGATACGTACTAACACATTTAATTGAAAGTTTAGATTATTTTGCATACTTTTTATATGAAACCATATATTATTGCTACAAATGTTTATAAATAAAAGTGTGTCAAGTTAATGTATGTCTGATTTATAAACATAACAAAATTTGCTTAGTTGCTATTTGGTTGCAATTTTTCCCATTGTCTAATCTAAGAGACTACAGTTCTTTATTGAGATTATGGAAATTTTTAGTGTTAGTGAAGAAAGTGAATTATTACAGAACATCAAAAAATTAGCAAAAGGTAAGGCAAGTGAATGCATTTTGATTTATTGCTTTTTATGCTCTGAATAGCGTTTACTTTATGCGTGTAATTAATTTTGATGTTTATAACTTAACATTCATAAAAAAAGTAATTTTTGTGAAAATAATTATTGTGATGGGATCAAAATATTTACAAAAAAATAGGTAGGTGTTTGATAAACCAATTTTATTTAAAAAGGCTGCTAACAATTTTTTTTCATTATTTTTTATTTAACTGTTTTTGGGTATAGCATTTATAGTATATAGGGTAGTTTCATGAAGAATTTTAAGACACTTTATAACATACTGTGTCTTTTGTTTTGTTAAGATTGTAAACAGTAAAAGAATATTAATAAAAAAATAACAATAAGATATTTAAGAAAATCTTAATAAGATTGAAACGCAGCAATATTTAAAGATCCATTAAAAAAGGATGTAACTAAGGGCTGAAGCTTTATAGTGAAGTAATAGAAAGTCTATATCCAGAAAAAAATCTAAGGAAAGTATTAACCTTTTAATTGTAAAAAAAAAGGTTTTTTATTAAAAACGTTAATACCTATTTAACTTTTTTTTTGTTTATGTGCAATTAAGTAAGCCTATAACAGACAATACAATTATTTAATATTATAACCAATAAAATGCACAATAAATTGTATAGTTTAGACTCATGAGTCTATATAGAAAAACTTCATAATAATACTAGTTCAAAAGTCATATTATTATTAAACTTTGGACAAAAATAAAGACTAAATGTCAGTTGAACCTAACCTAAAAATGATGTGACAAAATTTTAGGAAATTATTTAATTAAATGCTTAAAAAATAGTATATAAACCCGGCGGCGAAAGCTTATTGATTTCCTCGGCCAAAATATATGCTTTCTCCGCCTGGTGTGATGATAATAGTACATTATCACCTTGTTTACAAGTTCCTAACGATGTTAACGCATTTCTTGATTTGACATTTGTTGACATTTGTTGAATATTAAAAATATCGAGAAAAAAACGTGGAACAATTTGTTGTTTTGTTTGTTTTTTTTTGGAGGAAATCCTGGCTTGAGTTTTTACCGGTTTCCCAATAAACAGTGAAAATCCGAATGAAAAAATAAATTGCATGCAGTACATATAAATTGTACTTATTGGATAGAACAAATACACAATTTAGTAATATCATATAATTATTTACGTGAAAATTGAAAACATTTCAATTCAGTAAAAAACATAAAACAAATAAGTCGTCTAAATTTAAACTGCATTATGCATTATTAAAAGCGTTAATTGAGAAAGTCCCCACTCAACAATGAAATACCAAAAATGGGTATAATATGATTTAGTATACAGTGTGTCCGTAAAGTCCCGGAACATGTGATTATTTTGAAAACGGTATTTTTTTTAAAAAAACGCTGAAACACGTCAACTTTGGTATTTTTCTAGCAATATTTTAGCATATGTAGTTGTTCCAAAATCTGCCGCGTGGCGGCGCCCCAATCGAAGTAAGGTTTTTTTAAATTACAACCCTTAATTTTTCTTGCATTTTTGGATAGCTACCGTCGTCCTGAGTACATTGATATGCTACATGTGTAGGGTTACATAAGAAAATTTTTGAGAAAAGTAGGTTTTTGCCGCTGATTAAGATTTTGGTTTTGACGAACTTATTCGCTGTTACGGGGCACTATGCATTGCTAGTAAGGGATTATTTAAATCAGGTCTTTCCCAATCGCTGGATAGGTCAAAGGGGTCAAATTGAGTGGCCAGCGCGATCGCCCGATTTGAACCCTTTAGACTTCTTTTTATGGGGGCCTCTTAAAAACCGCGTCTATGTAAACAGGCCTTAAAATTTGGACGACCTAAGACACCGCATTCAAGCCGAGATCCAGATGATCACTCCAGCGGTACTGGCAAACGTACAACGCTCGTTTGTAGACAGGCTGTTCCATTTCCAAATAGTTTACGGTGGACACTTTGAGCAACTGCTCTGATTGGCTTTCCAAAAAACATTAAGCAACGCGTAGATTGTGTAAGTTTGACAAAATACCAAAATCTCATTCGGCAGCAAAAACCTGATTTTCTCAAAAATTTTCTTATGTAACCCCCCAGATGTGGCACATCAATGTAATCAGGACAACGGTAGCTATCCAAAAATGCAACAAAAATAAAGGGTTGCAATTTAAAAAAAACTGACTTTGATTGTGGCGCCGCCACGCGGCAGAATTTGGAACAACTACATATGCTAAAATATTGCTAGAAAAATATCAAAGTTGGCGTGTTTCAGCGTTTTTTAAAAAAAATTACCGTTTTCAAAATAATCACATGTTCCGGGACTTTACGGACACACTGTATATACAGTGTGTCGCATTTAAGATGAAGACACCTCTATATTTTTGATATTTGAAGAAATACAGATTTGAATTTTTGCAGTCATACATATTGATGGGTCACATTTTTTAAGATGCTCAACTGAAATCTGAACTTTACACTCAGCCTACTACGAATTCACAAACAGGGCCAGTTGTCGATATTTAGCTTCGCGTTAGAGATATCGAAAAAAATTATTGGAAAAAGTTGTTCAGAATATTATGCTAACCCCATATACCGACTTTCATAACAAAATTCGCATTTTTTTTTTTTTGATCCACACAAAATTATTAGTTTTTTAGTTTGATAATAAGGGAACCATGGAAAGTAATAATTTGACACTATTTAGTGTTTATAACCGTTAAATAAATAAATAAAACAATTTTTGGTAATTACAATTATAAATGATTCAATTTAGGAAATAAATAATAAAACCAATAAAAAAATAAAAATAAAATAATTAACTATCAAATACGATCTCTCTCAACTAGTGGTCCCTCTATTCGAATACATTTTTCGATTCTTTTACGATTATGTTTAGTTACTCGTCTAAGTTCCGGGATGCAAATTTGTTGACAAGCTTGCCTTATTCTGGCACAAAGTTCTTCTTGATTTCTGGGTCTTGTTCTATAAACTTTATTTTTTACCATTCCCCAAAAATAAAAATCGAGGGGTGTAATATCGGGAGACCTCGGAGGCCATAGTTCAAAAGGACTGTTTCTTCTTATCCAGCGCATTGTAAATTTTTGGTTCAACCATTGACGAAAAATCCTTGAATTGTGGATGGATGCAGATACATATCCTGTTGCACATTAAGTGGAAGATTTTCATTAGGTTTTGTTAATCCATTTTTAGCAAGGTTTATGGAATGTTTAATTTTTAAATAATGTATGCTTGTTTATATTCTTTATTTGCGACTAGTTTCGGTTATACACCATCTTCAGGCAGAAATGTCAAGTTTTAAAGTATGAGTTAAAATAGAATAATATATTACGAACATTGAAGTTTTAAACAATTTTTACACTTTATAAATAAAATGTATGTTTATTTATAAAGTGTGAAAATTGTTTAAAACTTCTATGTTCGTAACATATTATTCTATTTCATTCATATTAAACTGTTAACCATGAAGCTAAATAGTGCAATATACTGCCTAAGAAAACTGATGAAACATGCTGATAAAACAACCGCGAAAACAGCATATTTTGCAAATTTTCATAGCAAAATTAGTTATTGCATACTTTTTTGGGGTTTATCTTGTGAGTCTCAAAATGTATTTTCGTTGCAAAAAAAGCGTTACGAGTAATATGTTCCATAAATCAGACAGACAGCTGTAGACAATATTTTATTTCAGAAAAAATTTTAACTTTTACTAATATATCCATTTTATCGTGTTCCAATTTTGTGTATTCAAATTTAAAAACCTTTAAAAAGAACTGTGATTTGCATGATTACAATACAAGAAAAAAAGATAAACTCAAAACAGCTCTGCATAAATCCAAACTTACCCAGCAATGTATTGATTTTTGCGGTCCGAAAATCTTCAATCATCTACCAAAGAGTGTTCAGGAACAACCTTCAAAGAAAAAATTCTCGAGATCTTAAATCATTTTTGTCATTAAATCCTTTTTGTAACCTGGAAGAGTTTTTTAATTATAAATTTTAAAGCATTTTTGTTTAATGTATATATGTTTATAATTTGTTAGTTTATAAACTCTTTGATTGTTTACTTACCTGTTTATATTTGTAATATTTTTTTTATTTATATTTTATCTACTATATACCAACCTGTACACCTGTTTATTTGACGTTTAATGTAATTTTTATTACTTTAATAAACCTCTATTCTATTATATTCTATTCTATTCTATTTTAACTCATACTTTAAAACTTGACATTTCTGCCTGAAGATGGTGTATAACCGAAACTAGTCGCAAATAAAGAATATAAACAAGCAAGGAAGTATACATTATTTAAAAATTAAACATGGAAGATTTTCAATTGCATCCTAAAATTCCCCATCAAAGAAGTTAACTAAACGATCAGCATTCAATGATTCATTAAAGAAAAAAGGACCAATTATTAGGATTCCTAAAATCCCACACCAGATATTAACTTTCTGGGAATATTGATCTTTACAATTTATAACCCAGTGAAGATTATCTGTGGCCCAGTATCTACAGTTTTGAGACGATACTACCCCATTAGTTGTGAATGTAGCCTCATCAGTAAACATAATCTTCTTCAGAAAATGTCTGTCATTTAAAAAATTACCTTGGGCCCAATAACAATAGTCTAATCTTTTATTTTGATCACCTTCTTTTAATGTATGCAAGAACTTTGGTTTATAGGGCTTGATCTTGTGACGTACGAAACATCTTCTAATTTTATCCTTGCTAATCTTCATTTAAGATGATAAATTTCGAAGGCTCATGCATGGATTTGCTCGATTTGCCGCCAATATATCATTATCCTCGAGATGCGGATGTATTCGCCGAGGTTGACCATTCCGATGGATTTTAATAACACTGCCAGTTTCATTATTATTATTTCGATTTTTTCTCTTAAAGTCAATGGCATTTTAATTATGTGATCACTGATTACAAATTAAAGCAATAAACTCAAAGTTTAATCTGACATTTAATACTTTAGTTAGTGTCAAATTCCTAGACCAAACCTAGGTCTAGGGTCAAATTACTACTTTCCATGGAACTAAAAAATGAACTTGTAATAATTTTGTGTAAACCAAAATAAAAAAAATTAAAAATGCGTATTTCTTATGAAAATCGGTATACGGAAGCTAAATATCGACAACTGGCCCTGTTTGTGAATTCGTAGTAGGCTGAGTTTAAAGTTCAGATTTCAGTTGAGTATCTTAAAAAAGGTGACCCATCAATATGTATGACTGTGCAAAAATTCAAATCTGTATTCCTTCAAATAGCGAAAGGGGGTGCCTTCATCTTAAGTGCGACACACTGTATATATATAATATATTATAATATATTATACATATATTATATGTATATATATTATATGTATATATATATGTATATATTATATTATGTTTTTATGAATTTGTAGATAAAATCAGTCTTTTACTATTTTAAAATTCAGTTGTCGGCGTTTCTTTAGAGGACTCAAATATAAAAATGTTGATTTTAAGGTAATGTTTGTATAACGATTAATTTCTTAAAAATGTCAAAATTTTAAATATAAATTATATTATTATTACGTAAAGTTATTATTAGTTAATTCTGCACCAACAAATATAACTACCTTTAATAAAACATGAAAATGCAACTTTTAATTAGTTCTTAAATTACATTTACAAATAAAACTATATAAGCAAATAAAGAATAATAAATCGAAATCGAGTACTAAGTTTTTAACTGCAAATTATATACATATATTTTTTATTATAAATTATATACATATTTTTTTTTTTAGGTAACTCCATAAAAAGAACCGACGATAATTATTTAAAGCGGTTTTTAATTGGTCATGAATATGATGTACCCTCTGCGTTTACAGCAGTAAGTTTAATAGTTAATAATATCCTTTTTAGTGAAAAGTGGGATAAAAATAAACATTATTTAAAAATATATTGAAAAATATTTCTCAAAAATTTATATTTTAATTCATTTCATTAAAAAAAAATAGTTTAATTATTTGAAAATATGGTGAATTCACCGGGATTAATATTTTTATTTTTAATTATTTTTAATATTAACTTTTATAAACCTATGTACCTAACTAAAATGTTATTTTTATATTTTATAATTGAAGGGGTTGAACCCCAAAACTATCTGTTCGCTAGAGCCTGCTATACCTAATCAATAAATGTTCAAAAACGTTAATATTTTAATGTACCTAAATACTTCTAGATCACTTAAATATTTTTGACTTATTTTGTCAAACAAATATAAAATATTTCAACCAATTCTTTCGGTTTTGGCTAAGCAAGTCTTTAGGCCATGGTTTAATTTTTATTTCCGTTAAATAAAAATAATAATAAATAATATTATGTGTAGGCAGAGTTCTGCAACATACGTAGTTGGCCACGCCCTTTGGACTTTTATCTCGCCGCTGTCTCTGTGCCTGTTGCTTATATTGCGGCGGACAAGAGCGTGTTTCAACTTTGCCTACAGAACACGTCTCACCGGCACTGATGAGGACTAAATTAGGAAAATATTTATTATATTTGATTTTTTAATGTTAAAAATCCCTTTAGTTAAATTTAAAATTACAATTTACTATTTTAAATAATTTTTTTTATTCTAAAAAATGCTTCTAATGGATTTAAAATATGGGTTTTAGCTTCAAAATTACCAAAGCTTTATTGACAGACGTAGGGACACCTGGTTAAAAGTAGATCGAAAAAAACTAAAGACAATTTTGGAATCCCAAGTTATTGATGTATTAGAAAATAATGGCAGATTGGATCAAATCGTAGTATGGATCAGAATAGAAAAATGGGATACGCACAAGTTTTCAGCCGACGAAATTTTAGAGGTAACACTAAATAAAAAATAATTTGTTTTTAAATTAAATGCACTATAATTACTTATATAATATACTATAATTACCTATAAGTATACTTTATTATAACCTTGTTTCAGACATCAGGACTTATATGTGAAGCGATTTATTCCAAAGTACAAAAAATTAAATGCGTTGATGTAATAATGGATTTAAACAATTTTAGTTTTCAACATTTATATGCTTTATCTACGAGATTTGCCAGGAGAATGGTATTTTTTCTAGGGGTAAGAAACAAATAATAATACCTAATAAGATATTGCAAGAGGATAATCTAGCTATCCTTGTTTTACTTTATCTTTCCATCTTTGTCTTAAGCTAAAAATACGAAATAACCAATTTTTTTATAAATTATTAATATTAACATTAACAGTAGATCCTTTAATAATGTTTTAAATTTAAAATTTAAGTCTAGTTTGTACTTTTTCGCGATTTTTAACCTTAAAACGGATGTTAAAATTTTCAACTTAAAAATACACTTAAAAGTTGCGTTATCACATTATGACTTTACTTAACGTGCTTTATCAATAGGTAATTGATGTAACAATAATAACATAATAAATTTTTTTTAGAATTTTTATTTTTTTATCGGTATGTAGTGAAACAAAATGTAGAGGCAAATCGAAATATATATATATATATATATATATATATATATATATATATATATATATATATATATATGTATATGGTGTTGAGAAATTAATAGTTCATTAAAAAACAAAAAATTTGGCGCCTATTTCAGCCCTTAATATTAATATTAAGGTTTGCCTATATTCATTTGTTGTTTTTTCATTTCAATAACACGGGAATTTTTTTTTTAATTTTGAATTTTTATTACTTTGGAATGGGTTGTTTTCGCAACACCCAAGAGAGAGGATTTATAGAAAATTTCACGCTATACAAAAAACATCTGAAGGTCAAAGTTCTTCAGATCAACCGTTTCAAAGATATCAGCGATCAAAAATAACACTAATCAAAAATTTCAATATGTTCCAGTAAAACTACAAAAAAATATCATATGCCATATTTATATTATTTTTTTTATGTAAAATCACTTTAATTCTGTTAACCTGACACTGTAAACTTTTTTTTTGCTAATTAATTCCATACGTAACTCACAAAAAACACAAAACATAAATATAATATATTTATGTTTTGTGTTTTTTATGATTAAAAATATAAAACTCTACGAGGTGTGTTCAGAAAAAAAACGGGAATTGTTAAATTTCGCGGGTTTGGAGGGTCCGCTTGTCATAAAATTTTCTTTATTATGTAGGTATACATGCCCCCGAAGTATGATAAAAACTTTAGCTGTTTTCATTGTTTACTTTGTCTGTGGCAGCCGCTAAGGTTAGAAGTGTTTTATAAGCTCGGCGATTTTTCGTTCGTTAAAAGAAATGGATCAAAGAATTTGTATCCAATTTTGCTTAAAAAATGAAATAAATTCTGTGAGTCTGCTATAAGTAAAATAAGAGTTTACAAGTGGTATAATAGTTTCCAAGATGGCCGTGAAGACGTTGAAGATGACGAACGCCCCGAACGCATAAGCACATTTACAACCGATAAAAACATGGAAAAAGTGAAAGAAATGGTTATAAACCATCAGTGAAGTCGCTGATGATGTTGGTATATCGATTGGCTCATCCCATGAAATTTTTTCGAATGTTTTGAGTATGAAACGCGTGGCAGCAAATTTGAAAAATATGTGTAGTTTGTATGCTTTAAATGTTTTGTTGTCGTTCAATGATGCTATCGAGCGCCACCAGAAGGTGCGCGCGTTACGAAAACCCGATGCTTCTTTAGCGTATAACATTATAAAAATTGGATTTTGATAGATTTGAAGTTTGTAAAATAATTTGTTTGCAATATTTTATTTTAATTTATAACATTTCGTCAAACGCACCCTAAATAAGAAATATTTTACAAGGCATTTTTAAATTACTTACAAAAACCAATTATTATAATATTATTCCTCAAACATATTTTTATATAAAAAAATATACATGTTGATATACGTTGCCCGATGGGAACAATTTAAAATTCAAAACCATTTATAATTGTATGTTAAAACATTTTAAATTTTAGGAATGTTTGCCCATGAAGATGCTTAATTTTTATGTTATAAGACAGCCACGTATTTTTTGCCTTTTATATGCAGTATTTAAGCCTTTAATAATAGATAACGATAAAATAGAAGTAAGTAAATTATATTTTAAATAGGTTTTAAACAATCTCAAAGAACTTTTCTTTTAGTTTCATACAATTGGATATAACTTAAAACCAATGATAGAAAATATAGGATTAAAAGTTTTACCTCAAGAATTGGGTGGTTTATGTATAGAGAGTTTTTCAGGTCGGTGGATTGATATTGTAACTAAAACAAAAACTCAAAAAGGTATATCATTTTAAAAAATAATCTCACATTTATCATTTACGAAATATCTATGTATTTTTGTTTTAGATCTGCTGCTTTCTGGATATAAATTCTTAAATTAATTTAAATTATTTATAAGTAATATCGGACACAGTTAAATTTCATTGTTTTATTAATTGTTTTAAATTAAAACAGTGTATTCAAATTACCACTTAATACATTTTAAATTAATAATATTGCCAAATTTATAATATATTACCTTCAAATTTTAATTAAATATTTAAATATGCAGCTATATTATACAAATAGTAAACGATGCAATGTTTTTTTAATCTGTTATACGGTATATATTTTTTATAAAAAATTAATCTATATACCCATAGTAAAAACAAAAGTCGGTGGAGGTAACTCAAAGTCTAGTAGGCAAACAAAATCACAAATTGATCGAAAATCTAGATTTATGTGTACACTTTTTACGATTCCCAGGAATAACAATTTTTGGTTTTAAAAGTGTTATTAAATTATTTAAGAACTACTATTATATTTTAAAAAATACATAGACGGAAACTTGGTACATCCTGTATATTATAAATTATTTATAAAATTAAAAAACGACATGTAGCCAAATCATTTATTATTTTAATCCTTTAATTAATAATAAATATAAAAATATAAAATAAAGAATAGGTATATTATATAATTTTTAAACCCTTTAATCCAAACCCAAATACCTACTAAGTACTACCTTTTACAATAATATTTACAATAACTCCATGCGCCATGCTCGGGAAACCCTGTATAATAAAATATTAACAAAATATTTATGTTTACCTATACCTATAACCTATTTTTATTATATGATTTGTATTTAAATTTATTAAAGTTATTTATGTTAAAAAACTTGTTCTTACACATATTGTTTACATCCATTTCTTAAGAAACTTAAAACAAGCAGAATTTTAAATAAAATCAGTCTCTTGCAGCTTGTATAATTATAGTATACTATGTCAAGTATGATACACGCCATTTCAGTCACGAATTTTAATTGAGCGAGTGTTTAATAAAATAAGTGTCAAGACAAGTTTATAAATAAATTGCATACTATACTTTTTCTAAAACAAATATTATAATAAAAAAATAATGTATATAAAAAAGTTTATATACAAAAGTGCTCTTTTAGTTCCACCCTTACTTCCTAGTCCCAGAAGCCAACTGAATGGCTTGAGCGGGTTTGGGTTAGGAACGGACCGCGGGCTTAAGTCCCCTCCGAAGGACTATTACACAATAGGACAAACACAAATAAACAGCCATACCCCTGGTAGGAATCGAACCTACGACCTCTCGCCTTGTAGTCATGGCTGCAGCAGCACTAACCACTAGTCCACCTTCGGCGGTATTACTCATTAATTTAAATATTTGTATAGAGCGACATCTATACAAAAATAAAGTACCCAAATTAGTGTTAGGAATCTGTTTTAACATTTTTCAAAAATTACAGTTTTTTTCTAAAAAACGAAATTTCTTTCTTGAAAAACAGTTTAAATACACTTTAGAAGCCGTCTTTCAAAGTGAAAGTGAAAAGAATGTTTTGTTAGTAGTACGAAATATGTAGTGCTATATTAGGCAAATATTAGTCTACTGCCGGCGAAATTAAAAGGTCAATACCAACGTGCATATAAACTTTTTTAGATTGGAGTCAAGAAACTAGTTAATAATTTTGTATTTTTGTATTAAGATAATAAAATTATTTTTATAATATTAATTCACAAGAAGCCCAAGTAGCATTATAGTATCGAAAACTGATGTCGCAACTTCAAATTAGTGGCAATTAAGTTAAAATAACTAAATCTTCCATAATACAGTTATAATATCTTCAGAATTTATTAGCATAGTTGTAATCAGGTGATTTCCATTAGTAGGATATGCTTCATAGTTTTCTAACTTTTTGGTGTATGAGTCTTGTATCTGAAAGGTTATGACCACTTTTGACGCCACCTTAAAGTTGTCTAAACTTTACAGTGGAATATTAATAACCAAACCACATATATACTATGTACTTATATATACTATGTACCATATATACTGCCGTCCTAAGCGCAGAAGCGGTAACTGCACATTTAAAGGATATTGACATTTTTCCGTAATATGAACCTAGGGTTAAAAATCTCTACTTTAATAAGGTATTAAATCGGTATTTTGTCAGTAAATGATTGAAATATCAAGTTATTTTTAACGGTGTCTGTTACCAAACTGAGTTGGCAGAGCTATTAACATAAAAGTACCAATATCTCATGACAGCCATTATGTTAATTACCGCTTCTGCGCTTAGTACGGCAGTATACTTGGAAGTGGTAGTAGTGAAAACTTGAATATATAATTGTCATTGCCACGTTCTTGCTACATGCTTAATTGATTACACGTTTCGCATAGGATTATAAATATGTCTGCTTTTGAAGAAGGAAACTTTAAGATGGTATACCATCTTAAAGTTTCCTTCTTCAAAAGCAGACGTATTTACAAATAGTCGCCATTATAGGAAAATAAATGTGTAGTTTTAAACAAATAATAATTTAAGGTGACCAGAAATAATAAAGAAATTATTTGAGGCCTCTAGATAAATAATTTTCAGATTTTTATATTCTTGTTCATAACCACATTATGTGGTCCACATATTCCACAGGGCGTGCTTATATTTCGAGCTATGACACCCATATCTGACAGTAAAGTTGTATTCGTGTAATTTTATGTCTTCGGATTATTTTAATTTTAGTTATTATTTGCAAGTTGTATCCTAACATTATAATAATTTTAGTATTCAGTGACAGTTTAATGTATAATTTTAGAAAAAGCAAAGATAATGAGAAAAATAATATGCTAGAAAGACACGAGGATAGAAAATAAAGTTTAACTAAGGAGTTTACCACTATACATCCACGTTATAGAAACAAAACGTGGTGTAAACGTGTCAGTAAACAATCAAAAAACGTTGTTGGAACATAACCGACATAAGTGTTCCCCATTTTAGTCACTTTCACGTAATAGTACCGTTTCTACCACGTGGCAGATATTTTGGCAATACACTTTCAGTTCCAAGTATAAGTGTTCTATACGTTTTATCCACTAAAAATGCTAATTTATTATTTGATAAAATATTTAAACAAAGCAAAATTTAAAAAATAAATGCTAACATTGATTTAGCGGTTGGCTTTGAAAACAATGATGCGACAAAATAAATAGTCCTCAATCTAAAAAAAAAACACTTAAAAAGTAAGCCTAAGTGTAGATTTATTATTAGGAATTAAGGTTTTGTAAATTAGGTAGTTTTAAAAGAAAATGAATGAGCCCCATTAAAAAATATATTCAGGACGGTACTGTATTAGCATGTGTTTCGTACATTCTCTTCTGTAAAAATTCTTCTCATAACACAGATAAGACCATTTTTGAATGCAAAAATTAATTTCCCAATACATAAATGATAAATTTTGATTGTATGGTCTATTATTGCTTTAAAGACAGCCTTGGGTGATTAATGCACTTGCATAAATAGATAATTTTTTAAAATAATCCAATTACATGTTTTGGTTAATCAAAATTTAAGCTCATAAAATTATATTAAAAAAGTATTCTTAAATAATTGAATACCTATATAAACAATAGGGTGGTCGTTAAAATTAATTTTTTTGCGGCGCCCCCTAAAAAGCTTCGTATTTATAAAAAAACACTGGGAAATTTTTTTTTCTTTTTAATTAAAACAACAAGTTCTTCAAGACGATCTAAGTTAATTTTTTGGATAATCATGTTTTTTGGAATTTTTTTATGAAAAATAAAATTTTATTCGAGATATAAACAATTATAGAACCCAAATCAATAAAAAAACAATAATTAATCGAAATAACAATACACAAAAATTTAAATTCAAAATTTTTCCCAGTTGATTTGGTCTATTAAATAAAAAAATGAAAGATATTCAAATTGATATTTTTATTTTAAAACTAAATTAGTACAAACGTAATTTTAATATCTAGATTTCTTCACTCCAAGGTGAAGTTATTTCATTGTTAATAATTTTTAAATCTCAAAAAAATTATTATTCCAAATTTTCAGAAAAGACATGATTATACCAAAAAATTAACTTAGATCGTCTTGAGGCACGTGTTGTTTTTAATTTAAAAAAAATAAAAAAAATTCCCAGTGTTTTTTTATCAAAACGAAGCTTTTTATGGACGTCGCAAAATATTTAATTTTTAACGACCTCCCTAATAAACAATTATTAAAAACTTTATGTAACCTACTTTTGCTAAGTAGTAATAGTACTATAGTATAGTACAGGCATACCTAATAATTTTTTATACCCAATAAATTTTAATGTTCACCAAATTAGCATAAAATACAAATATCAGCATTGGCTCTCAAGTTTAATGTCAGACAGCAGCAACATTACCGCCTTGGACTTGGCAATTACAGTACGCTGTTAAATCAAAGCCGGGTTTTTATCAATCCTGTACGAGCTTTCCAGCAATCTGGACGGTGTTTATTTATTTATACATTATATTGTGAATCGAGTGTATCGGACATGTCTTCTGACGCTAACAGCAATATCGAAAAGGAATTGACGGAAGAGGAAATGAACCAAAGAATTAAGGAACTTCAAAGACTTGTCGAAGGTAAGAATTAATTATTATTTTAAAATTATTTAAAAAAATGTTGTAAACATAAATAAAATAACAATAATAACTATCTCCCACTGAAAGTAAAAGAATTGTTATATTTTCAATGTCAGAATTATCAGTGGCGGACTATGTACGTCGAAGGCCAAGGGCGGCAAACTCAACTTGTCTCCAAGAAGAGTTTTTTTATTATTTAGTAGATCCCTCGCATGCACCATAACACCCTAAATACAGGGTCTCCCATAATTAACGTGGAATACTTTAACAGCAGATTCTACGTACAAAAATAGGAAAAAAATCCTATAAACATGGGTCGAGAAATACTCCCTAAGGGAGCTACAGCTACAGCCCCTTAAAGGGAGCCCCTAAAGATGGTTTTTATTTAATGTTTAAATCTCAAATTTTAATTTTTCTATTTTGAACGGTTTTGTAGATATTAAATAAAAACCATCAGGGGCTCCTCTTTCGGGGCTGTAGCTTCCTTAGAAAGCATTTCTCGACCTATGTTTACAGGAACTTTTTTCTTTCTTGTACAGGGTGATCCCCTATAATGTCGCCCCCCTTTAACTTTTTTATTTTAAGTGTCCGAAAAAATTTAAATGTTTTGTTATGTAGGAACTAAAAAATACTTTTTTTCTACCTATAAAGAAAATTGGAAAATTGATCAGTATACAGGGAAAAACAAAAAGTTTATTTTTTTTCAATGGATAACCCTATATATGAATTTATTTTTCGATTCCTTGTAAAATTCTGAGCATAATTCATATAACAAACCATATACCTAAATTCAACTGTTTCTGAAATATTCGGATTCGAAATGTTATCATAAAAGTTTTTTTAAACTGTTAGAAATCAAGAAGCCCTAGTATACCAAAATTTTTATTGAAAATAAATTACTATAGTGACATTATGTCAATATGTCTTGTTAAATAAGTAAAAATGGCGTACTCAGACAGAGAAAGACAAACTATTTCAAATTATTATCTTAAAAATAATTTAAATATTTCAGAAACGGTTAAATTTAGGTATATGGTATGTTAAATGAAATATGCTTAGAATTTTACAAGGAATCGAAAAATAAATACATATATAGGGTGATCCATTGAAAAAAAGTAAACTTTTTGTTTTTCCCTGTATACTGATCAATTTTCCAATTTTCTTTATAGGTAGAAAAAAAGTATTTTTTAGTTCCTACATAACAAAACATTTAAATTTTTTCGGACACTTAAAATAAAAAAGTTAAAGGGGGGCGACATTATAGGGGATCACCCTGTACGTAGAATCTGCTCTTAAAGTATTGCACGCTAATTATGGGACACCCTGTATAATTAGGGACATAAAAATTGAGTGTTTTTCAAGCAAACGTTTGTTTTAACTTGTTAGTAATTAATTTTTCAAAATTCTAATTAATGTTGTAATGACATTTATTTTAATCTGACTATTGCAGCCGGGGCCCCCAAGACAAAAATTAAAAATCAGCTTGTCTTGTTTTGAGTTAATAATATTTTGTTTCTTTCATATCATGTTATTTTTATACTAGAAGCTTCCCGCGGCTTTGGTTTTTAATCCTACACGGAGAAAATAAAACAGTAACCATTGATGCGCACAACAATAATCCAATCAATAAACTACCTATTGGAAATAATATTTAATGTGCAAAAATTTTGCTTAATATATTTTCTGTCAGTGATGTGACCAAAATAACCATTGCTGTTTTCAAAGTAACGCGTAACGTTTTATTAGAAATTGTATTATTTCAAATAGTAAATTGACATTGAAGTTGGCATTGAATACAAAATGGATTAGTGTTCTGCGCATCAATGGTTTAATGGTTATTGTTTTATTTCCTCCAGGTTCATAAATTTGGCTATAACTAGATATACCATTACCATAATAATATCTATAGGAAATATTCAAATTAATTGTAAGAATACTTAACTATATAAATATATATTTGTTTAATTAGGGATAATAGCAAGTTTTTTTATAATACTCATGATAATCCCCAAAGGTCAAGGCTAAAAAATAAATAAAAATAGTAAAAGGTAAAAAAACTGTTAATTAATTATTAGAGACCGGACTTTTAGGCACATAAAAAAGAGAAAAAGGGTCCTAAAAAGGCACTAAAAAATAGGTATAATAGGCAAGAAAAAGGCAAAATATGCACAAAAAGACAAAAAAAATAATATTGAAAAATAAACGCGTTTACTTTAAATAAACATATAAAATAAATAAAAAACATGATTAACATAATTTTAAATATTAAAAAACTAATTTAACAGCTAATTTTTTGCGTGCATTTTTTTAAATCAATTTCCATAAAAAAAGTAGGTTTTCTATTTTAGGCAAAAAATTAGGTTTATTAGGCATGCATTTAGGCATTTTAGGCAAGGTTTAGGCACTTTAAACATTTTTGAAAAAAAAATCGAAAAAAGGCCAAAAATGCCAAAATGATGTTGGGTTTAACTGTACTAAAAATTCCCAAAACACATTTTACAATAAGAAACAGCCTATCAAAATTGACGATAGGCATTTTGCCTAGAATCCGGTCTTTATTAATTATATGTATGTAACTAAAATGGATTTTGTGAAAATAAAGAATAAAAAACCTGTTAAAAAAGTATGTTACAGTTCTACAAAATATTATAATTTTTTAAATTTATTAGGTAGACCAGGGCCTGCAGGCGGAGAAAGCTCATATTATAGCCGAGCATACATTTCACTGCCGAGATGCCTAGTTTTATATCTATAGATATACTATTTAATTTAAGCATTTAATTTATATTTTTTTACGTTTCTGTCACATCATATTTATGTTAGGTTCAACTGAAATGGTGAAATTTTAGCTTCATTTTTGTACGAAGGTTTATAATAATTTGACGTTTGAACTAGTATTAGTGTCATAATATGAACATTATTAAAAGCTTAAAAAACTATATAATTATATATTTCTAAAAATACTATATTTGCATGTCTAAGTATTAAATTATCTCCGATTAAAGTTGACTTTTTTATACACCGCAGGAAAAAATGTCATATTACGGGTTCACAAAGAAAATTGTTTAAAAAAAATTTTTATCCTTATATTTTAAAAATTAATTCCCAAATAAGACAAATTTTCATAAAAAACTATGGTCGGGGTGATAATTAAAAAAATAGAATAAAGGGGTTATAAACCTTTAAATGTTTCGATAACTGCTGACAGTTTTGAAGCTATCTAACGTCACTTTTTACATTTAATAATTGTTACTTTAATTGTAAGCACAGAACAAACCATTACCAACTATAGAATGTTAAATTAATTTTAAAACTTGAAAATAAAATTGCATATTTCCTATAGTTTCCTAAAATTAACATTAATTTTATATAAATGGCCAATTAAAAAAATCCAAAGGTCCAAATCACCAAATCCAAGGCACGCAAGTTTTATAAATGTGGCTTAATTGCTTATACCTATGTAAACATAACTAATTTATTTAATTAAATATTTACTGCAGATTTACTTGTTAATAATATGCAGTAACCTTCAAAATATTTTTTATATAAATCAATAGCCGCGTAAACCTATACAATAAAACACTTTTTTTCTTGTAGATAATGAAACATTAAAAGGACTTCAGACCGATGAAGAATATTTAAAAAGATTTTTATACAGCACTTTATTCAATGTGGAAGAAGCCTATGAAAGGGTATTGTTTTTCTCAATAATATTTTACATAATAATTACAATTATAATTGCTTAAAAAATATTAGAGCTAATAGCTCTACAATATAAAAATGTATTTAAACACAAAAAAAAATCTCAAAATTAAAAAAGAGAGGCAAATGGAATATGCATATGCATTTTATGTTGTAAAAACAAAGCTTTTTAAACAAAAAATTACGATCAAATTATGAATGTTATTTTTATAAAATATGTTTACAGATGAAGAATTTCTATGAATTATTATTGGAATTCCCTGAATGGTTCACCACAAGGGCGCCAACCAAACACAAAAGAGTAATCGACGAAAATATTAGACACATAATACCAGGTGAAGATAAAGAGGGGCGTCCAATATACGTAGTCAAATTTGGTAAGTAAAATTTAATAACAAAAATATCACCTTGATCATTTTTAAGGGACAAACAAGTAAATGATTGTAAATTAAATAAAGTAAATATTTTTCTTTCAAAATATTGATTTTTTCTGTAAAAAATCAAACAAAATAAATAACGGATTTCGCAAGTTTTTAGCCTTGATTTTTAAACCCATAATACATATAATTAAAAAAGTAGTTTTCATTAAATTTGTTATGTGGATTTAATAACTGCATTAATGTAAATAAGATGAATTATTGATAATTAAAGTACTAATTATCAAAAAAGATTTTTTAATACTTAATTATGCTAAAACAAACAATATTTCAAAATTTATTTTGCGATTTATAATTTAGGTATAGCATAATATATAAATAAATTATTTTAATCCTTGGTAGTTAAAATTATTTGTATGCAGCTCATACCAAATTATTTAAACTTGATTTATAAAAATGAAATAAAGTTAACATACAATTAATTAATTTTAGTTGGGTCAAGGTGTCTATTGTGAAATTTTAATAAATAATTTTATTAACATCGGTTACAATTAAAAAATTATTTAAACAAAAATAATTACAGAATTTGTAAAAAAATGCATAAAAACAGTAACTAACTGAGGGCTATTATATAATCCACAACCGTAGTTTATATTATATTTGACTTTTTTTTATAAAAATAAGAATTTTTTAATCATTATTAAAGGATTTACGACGGTTAACTGTTTTCTAAAAATTAATTGAATAATAGAAAAAGTGAAGTTAGAACCGACCGATGGTTCCCAGATTTTATGATAGTAGACTATGGGCGAGAAGGCGACAAGATTTTACTTTTCTCCACGGGTAGTATTTTTTATTATACGATTATACGACGGTTCATTGTTCATTGCACGCTAACGTGCCGCGATTCGAAATGTTAAAGGCACGTTAGTTACTTCATAATTATTTTACGTCATGATTTTAAGATTTTATGTTACGATAAAACTAAAACAAACCAACCAACCCAACCCTTTTTAACAAAGGTACAACAAATTTAAGAAATAAAAAAATAAAAAAAGTTCGACAAATTCTAGTAGATTTTATGTTACGATAAAACTAAACCAAACCAACCAACCCAACCCAACACTTTTTAACAAGGGAACAACAAATATATGAAATAAAAAAATTAAAAAACTTCGACAACTTCTAAGAATCGAACCCGGTACCTTTCGCATGCTAAGCGAACGCCCTACCATATGAGCTATCTAGCTTGACATAATTTTAAAACGCTCGGAGAACAAAAACGGATTATTATTATGACGTAACTAACGTGCCTTTAACATTTCGAATCGCGTCACGTTAGCGTGCCTCTAGTCACAGCGTTTCTAAAAATTAATCGAATAATGGAAAAAGTAACGTTGGAAGTGTCCGATGGTTCCCAGAATTTATGATGATGAAGGTCTCATACCAGGCTGCCTCTTAAAGAAACAAATATTTGCGTTATTTAGATACGATAAAAGCAATATAAAAATCCGCCACCTTATGTAGACAATTATTCAGAAATTGTATTGAAAGTGAAACATAAAAAATGATTTATAAAGAAATAAATCCGTCGAAGGATTAATGCCAGTCAGTTTCTAGGTATCTATAATATATATATATCTATATATAGATTCTATAGATTCTATATGTATACCTGGCAGTAAATCCACAAAACACTATAAAATTGCATAAAAATGATAGATTAACCTAAAATTTTGTACCCCTGTAAATTATTTAGTAAAAATTATATCGAAAAGGACAAATACAAACTTAAAATTAAATAAATAGCCCAGGAACAAAGATTGCAGAAGGAAAACTCGATGGTAGTCGGGTTTTATTTTTTTATGTCAGTGGTCAAGAATTTTCCAAAAAATTTCTTTCTGCGTCCCCTAATTTAATCCCCCGAAAAGGGAGTTTTTTGCTTTTTAGCTAATAACTCGCTAACCGTGCATTTTTTCAAAATTTGACCTCCAACACTTTTGATTATGTACTAAATAAGGCACACGTTAAACCCCATTGCGCACCTATATGATGTGCCCTTTGCTATGCGCAATGTGCAAAGTTGAGCGTTGCTTTCAAAATCACTTTTTTGTTTTTTTGTATTATAGCCCAATTTTAAACCCAAACCTTACGGTAATCAAACATAACCGAATAGACGATTTTTGGAGGTACTAGACTTTTTTAAAAGTTACTGCTTTTCAATGTTTCCAAAACTTTAATTTTTGTGGGGCACTTGCAATGAAAATAATTTAAAAAAAAACTACGGATTCGATACGAGGATAAGTGTACTTAAAAATTTAGGGTAAAAGGAACTGGCTCATGAAAGCCGTTTGGGAAATAGAAAATGGGTTTTTTGAAAAACGAACCCCCTGTCCATTGAAAAGCAGTTGCTTTTGAAAAAGTCTAGTACCTCAAAAAATCGTCCATTCGGTTGTTTGATTACCGTAAGGTTTGGGATCGATTACTTTTAAAATTGGGCTATAATAAAAAAAACAAAAAAGTGATTTTGAAAGCAACGCTCAACTTTGCACACTGCGCATAGAAAAAGGGCACATCATATAGGTGCGCAATGGGGTTTAACGTGTGCCTTATTTAGTACATAATCAAAGTTATTAGAGGTCAAATTCTGAAAAAATGCACGGTTAGCGAGTTATGAGCCAAAAAGCAAAAAAACTTCCTTTTCGGGGGATGAAATTAGGGGACGCGGAAAGAAATTTTTGGGGAATATTCTTGATTCATTATCAGCACCCCTGACTCTACATAAAAAAATAAATCCCGACTACCATCGAGTTTTCCTTCTACAACCTTTGTTTTCTGGACTAAAAAGTATTATATTTTTATACGATAGATAATGCAGGCTATTATTCACAAGGATAATGTTTGCGTCTCGAGTCGGCAGACGAGAGACTTAATCATCCGAGTGAATAATGGGCATTATCTGGATTATAATACTATACTTTATCTACACCAATAGGTAGATAATTAAATGATTTTCAAAAATAAATAAATAAAATCTGTCAAATGGTTAACCTCATTTTTAACCAATTTTAAATGTTATTATAGTCACCTTCTCCCAATTTAAAACCCGATTGGTTCATATCATATATTATTCCAGTTGTTAGGCAGGGAATTTATGTTTCTCATTATTCACGAAAAAAAAACAATATTATGCAATAGAAGTAGATAAAATGTTTTATATGAAACCCTATAGTACCCATAGGTAGTGAAATTTAAGTTTGCCGTAGCAAATCCGATACTGCAGTACCATGATAGCTCTTAAGACTAGAAGATTTTTTAAACATATAAAATGTTAAATTTCTACTATAGACATATTATATTATAGACATTATTTGCTGTTACATCCACTTAATAAAAATAATAATTTAATTGGTAAAATAAATACTTTTATTTTGTTTTTCAAATTTTAATGACAAAATAATGCACAAAAATGTTTTTAAATGTAGGCATTTAACAAAATACTTAATTAAAAACATTTTAGCATAAAAAATGGTTATGGTTTATAACTTAAAAAAAAACTAATAAAATAAAATTATAAATTTAGTTTTGAATTTTCCCAGAAATATGATTTATAATTAAAATCTGTAAAAAATGGTACAAATGTAAAAATTCCTATAAAACAGTATATTAAATGAATTAACAAGCGGGTCAGTCCATGTCAACTCAACACACCCATTTTACCACACCACCTCAGATTTTCTTAAAATTTGATATACTTATACTATGTACTAAGACTAAGAAAAATACCAATTTTTAAATTTTTATCTCACACCGTTTCCGATATATGGCTATGTAAAGTTTTTAAAAACTCGCGAAAAAAGTGTGAACGTGTATTTTTTAAATTGCTCTGGAAGCTGTCCTAATTCAGCTAGAACGCTGGGAGAGGTGTCATTTTGCAGCATTTTAAATGCTCTTTCAAATGACATACGAACGCCAAGGGTATTAATGAAAAGATTTTGTTCAAAATCCATATATATATTTTGATTCAATTTTTTTTCAAAAAGTACATAATTTAAAATTCTCAAAATATTTGTATAAATACTTAGTACTGTTTTAAACCATATAGTAAAATATAAATGTGGGGTCTTAATGGGTTCATGTTAAAAAAAAATATTTGTGATGCTGGTTTTTCACTTAACTAATTTTGACAGATTCGTTACATCTTTCCTGCAGGTATGACAAATCATGGAGCCAATAGGCATTTGTGGAAATAATCCAGTCATCCATGCTGGGACTTTTCTCAGTTTTTTTCTGTCTCTAATAAAATGATTTGTTTTTTTCATTGGATTATAACACTGCACTATCACAATAGTAGGCTCCATGTTGACACCAAAATCACTTTAAACACACCTCATTTATAGTTTTATTTTTAAATAAACTACGAATATATACAGGGTCCGATAAAAGTTCCCTGAATTTTTTTTTAAGCGAGTTTAAAATTTATCAATAAGGTTTTCGCGGAAATTGTTTGCTCGAGCAGGTTCCTAGAACCCTTTCAATTCTGAAAATATTCATTTTATGTTGTTCTGTTTAAAATTTAGTTCAATATGAATCGCCAAAAAAAGCGCATCACAGTAATTGAATTAAAAAAGTCGGGAATGTAGGCAGCCGATATTATTAGGGTTCTTAGAACCCTATATTTTTGAAAATATTCATTTTATGTTGTTTTGTTTAAAATTTAGTTCAATATGAATCGCCAAAACAAGCGTATCACAGTAATTAAATTACACAAGTCGGGAATGATGACAGCCGATATTATAAAAAAAAATACAATTGTCAGGCTTAAGCCTGATAAACGTTGAATAATGTCAAAATTAGTTTAAAGTGAAAAACCAGCATCAGAAATATTTTTTTTAACAATGAACCCATTAAGACCCCACATTAATATTTTATTATATGATTCAGAACACTACCAAGTATTTATACAAATATTATTTTGAGAATTTTAAATTATGTACTTTTAAAAAAAAATTAAATCAAAATATATATATGGATTTTGAACAAAATCTTTTCATTAATACCCTTGGCAGTCGTATGTCATTTGAAAGAGCATTTAAAATGCTGCAAAATGACACCTCTCCCAGCTTTCTAACTAAATTAGGACAGCTTTCAGCGCAATTTAAAAAATAAACGTTCACACTTTTTTCGCGAGTTTTTAAAAACTTTACATAGCCATATATCGGAAACGGTGTGAGATAAAAATTTAAAAATTGGTATTTTTCTTAGTCTTAGTACATAGTATAAGTATACCAAATTTTAGGAAAATCTGAAATGGTGAGGAAAAATTTCTTTTTAAAGTGTGTTGATTTGGCATGGAATGGCTCAAGCTCATATCAAATAGGGTGGTTTTATATATAGCCCTAGGTGGTAAAGTAAACTAGCCTATTTAATTGTGAGCTTGCTCATTTAATATGCTATATAAATACCGATTGGTTGTAAAAATAATATTTATTGTAAAAAAGTATGATCCTCAAAAATAATTATAAACCTAGGTATTCATTTGGAGGAACTTTGCCACTTTGCTATAAAACCAGCATGTTTGATTAAGAGCATTTTAATTTTAATAGGCTGTATAAATACATACTGGTTGTATACATAATATTTATTTTAGAAAACTGTGATCCTGGAAAAATGGAACTATCTGATTGCATTGCAGTGGACGACATGATGTTGGAAATACTATTCCAAAATCAAAATATTAAAAACGGCCTTAGCGTCATTATGGACGTCTCCAGTCTACCCTTAAAGCTCCTAAAATGGTTGACGCCGCACAACGTAAAAGTTGGTTTAAAAAAATTGGAAGCCACCCCAATTGTGAATTATAGGTTTCACGTTGTTAAGAGTTCCCTCATTGTTAATGCCGCCATTAAGATGATTTGGCCGTTTTTGAGCGATAAAATAAAGGATATGGTAAGAAATAATTTACTTGGGTTTAAATAATATTCAATTTTTTTACTTATGGTTAAAATATTTATTCCTTTACTTTTAAGGTAAAGTTCCACTACAATGACTTGGATTCATTACATTCATACATTGACCCAGACAAGTTGCCACAAGAATATGGTGGTTACATTAAAGTTGATGTGGAAAAATTAATACAACCTGTGTATGATAAAGACAATGAAATTTTGGAAAGTTTCCAAAAAAGAAGGGAAGTTTATCTTAAGAAATAGTAGTTATTTTATTGTTTATTTATAGCGCCAAAATTTGAGTAATTCAACATTTAAAAGGTTTTTTGTGATTGTAAATATTAAATAGTAGAATAAATATTTTTTAGTTTTATGTATGTGAGGTATTAAAAAATAAATTTTAAATCTTAAATAAACTTTATTCCTTTTTTCATAAAAAGTCCTACTTAATTTTCTTACACACAAACATTAAAAAGTTCATTTAGTTTTCACTAACCACTGTAATTAAAAATATACAAAATTTACCTTAAAAGAGAAAACCGCGTAATCCCAATAATGTTAAAATAGTTTGCATTTACTTCGTACTTAATTCATTCTCATCGGGGAAAAGTGGTTTCGGGACCGCTGCCTATTTTTTGTTGGATTATTTTGCCATAACCGCCTCGTCCGCCATCGAAATCAGTTCTATATTCATCTCTAACTTGTCCTCCAGTTTTACCTCTTCCATATTGCCTTCCCTCAATAAAACCGGCATCCCAATCGGTTCTCACGATTCTATCGTCCAATCGGGTTCCGTTAATGTATCTAAAAGAGTAAATTTAAATATGGGAAAATGCGTTTTACCAAGTTAACGTCAAAATTTGGAAGAAACTAATTTGCAAAAAACTGCATATTAGCCATTTTATTTGAACACCTACAATTTGATGGTAGTATTTACTTTAATTGTCAAGGTATTTAAGTTAAAAGCTTTAAAATTGGTCCCAATATACTTCTTATATGTTGTGGGATTTGTTACAGGTTTCATTTGCAGTGGAACAAAAAGGTAAGATATGTTGGCTTTTAATATAAAAATCATAAACCAATATTTGTTTACGATTTGTTCGAGTTATTTTGCATATATATGTATGAAGAGAGTGTTTCATTGAGCTTATAAATGTGTTGCTTTCGGTTTAGTTTCTTTTCAATATTTAATCCCATGTATTGGATTATAGTTACTTCCTTTAGTGGCTTCTTAATTTTAATATTCAGTATTCAGGTCTTGTACTGTATCTTAGTCGTTTTTGTTCTTGTAGAACATTGTTAGGTCATCTGCATACATGAAGATTTTTCCTTGCATATTGTATAGGCTAAGATTATTTATATAAATTATAAACATGTAGGGTCCCAAAATTTAACCACAAGGGACACCATATTTGGTTGCCTCTACTGTACTACTTTGGTTAAGTGGGATATGTTTCCTAACTACTTCCATATTTTCCATTTTTTTACTTAATAAATCCAGGGGAGTCAAATGCCTTCTTGTAAATTAAAACTACGCCTGTTACTGTTAAAATATAGTTTATTAAGTTATTTATTGCTGTTATTGTTCTCTTGTGCGCTAATTTTTGAGTTAATTTTACTGAATAATTTAAGAAGATTTTGTTATTACCAATTTTATTAAAACACGCATGTAATTAAATTAATTATTACTATAAGTATGAATTGAACCTTCACCTCGCCAAAGTTTTTTTGGTTTGAATTAGTTCCACCAACTTCAAATACCTTTCTTATGAATATTACCAGTAACAGGTCAAGAAAGTTTCTTCAAGAAACTAAAAAAATTAAATGTTTACTACAAGTAGGTAATTCATATCATCACTTTACAAGATATGAAAGGCCAAAATAGAAAATTTTATCATTAGTAGGACTGTAGGATTTTTAGTAGGATTTGAATTGGTTTGCATTTATGAAATGTTACCAAAAATAGTTATAAATTATAACTTATAATAATAATAATCTATAATCTAGAATAAATAATTATCCTAGATTACAATTTAAAATCATTATCACAGAACACAATCATTATAACAGCGTCATCTGTGCTAATTTTGTAAAATAATGTTATTTAGTTTTTTATTAAGAGTTTTATAATTGTTTGTGTATATTTTTTTAACATTAAATTTATTTTTGCATAAAAAACACTATTTGTGGTTCTGTTTGTCAGATTTAGTAGGTTTTTCATGTTTGACTAGTAGGATGGCTGTCAAAGAGTTGGCAACACTGGATATGAATTAATTAAATAAAACCATGTTCTATAGAGCCTATGTGTTTTTAGCTACTTTATATGTTTTTACTAAAAAAACTGACAATGTTACTGAAACTTTGTAAATGTCTTATAAGTGGATTTTTTCAACATTTTCTTATTGTGATTATCATACCTGAACCTCCTTAAGATGCATTGAGTAGCAGTTAATGCTTTTAAACAAAACTAATTAGTTGGTATTTGGCATATATCTATCAGTGATAAACAGTGCTGGCCAAGTACTGAGTACTTTTACTCGTATTTCAATTACGAGTAAAAAAGTACAAGTACTTTTTTACTCATAAGTAATTTTCATTTGTAATACTTATTACTCGTACTTACAAACCAAATTCAATGTACTCGTAAAAAATACTCGTGGAATTCACAAGTAATATACAGGGTGTCCCAAAAGTCAACAATAAGCTTTGGAAGACTGATAGACCAACTCATGACCAACCAGAAAAACACAACATAACCTTAGTAAAAAATCGTTAGTTTTTGAGATATTGGCATTTTTATGAATTTTTTGAAACTTGACACCTAAGATCAGTTTTTCGAGTGACACAGCTACACAATTCTATAATGTTTGATTATATTTTATGTTGCGTAACCCTGAATAGGCCTGCTATTAATTAAAATTCAAAATTAAACTAATAGTAGATTTTGTAGATGTGGTACTTGAAAAATTAATCTAAGGTGTCAAGTTTTACAAAATTCATAAAAATGACTATAACTCAAAAAGTAACGTTTTTTTACTTAGGACGTGTTGTGATTTTCTGGTTAGTCATGAGTTGGTCTATCAGTCCTCCAAAGGATATCATTGACTTTTGGGACACTGGTGCCCTGTATATGTATTTCCGTTTATTATATAGATGAATTTTTGCCAAAATATCGTTAGCATCAAAATTTTTTGTTTGGAAGCCTGTTTTAAATTAAATAATATATAATATAGTATAATATAATATATTATATACTATAGGTAATAATAGTATAATATTATATATTATAGCCTACAGGTTTTATAACAAGTAAATAGGTAAAATTAGTAACTATTTAAGAATTGTTATTATTTTATGTACATAATGTTTAAAATAAATAATTTTATAAATTTGTATTTGTATTTTTATAGCTCAGGACCAAAGTATGTATAATGTACATACACTCTCTAAAAATGAATTAGTCGAAAATGACTAATTACCACAATTATTGGTGGAAATTAGTGAAAATACCGTCAAAAATTATGAAAGTGGAGCAGTTTTTGAGATATAGTCATTTCCATATTATATGGAAAATGGACTATATTTCAAAAACTGTTCCTTTTCTAACTTTTTCGGATTCAGGGAACAATTTTACATGGAAATTGACTGCTAAATGTTAACAATGCAAATTGCTATTGGCGAGAATTATTAGTGGCTGCTTTTTCGCTATGACAATTAGTAATTTTTAAATAATCGATTTTTAGAGTAAAGAATAAATTATATTAACTAACATTTTTAGTACACGTACTCCTTACTCGTGTTTTCACAATAACTACTCGTAACCGTAACCTCTCTTTACAAATGTATTTACGAGAAAATATTTTAAGTACTCGTACTTAAAATTTTACGAATACTTTTTTTAGTACTCATGCCCAGCTCTGGTGATAAATATATGGTAAATGTCATTAATTATTATTATAAGCATTGATCATTGTTATTAATTAAATTAGATCAAGGAAAACTGCATTTTATATTATTCCTCTGGACAACTAGTGTTCTTAATTTACTTAGGAGGAATTAAATTTACTTATGAGAAAATAAATTTAAAAGTGTGTTTATATTTCTCAGCAATAATTAAGCCTTTGGATAACGCCTCAAGAAATAATATTTTTGTATTTTGTGGAACGGTACACCTTCAGTAATATAAAAAAAAATTATCATATCAAGTATCCCATTTTATTCTCAATTTTTAAAGTAAAGCAATACTTATTGGTTAATAAATTTAAATAAAGCTTACCTTAGGCAATTTTCAGCATCAGCTCTGTTATAATACTCAACAAAACAGAACCCACAGGGCGTTTTTTTGTATTTGTCCAGCCCCATTATAACACGCCGAATATCGCCGCATTTCGAAAACAACTCATAAATTTGCTCTTCTGTTGTAAAGAACGATAAATTACCAATATATAAAGTAGTTGTACCCCTTAATAAACGGTCTTGTTCGGCTCTGGAGCCCTAAAATATATATAATTATTTTGAGGTTAGAACTTTATTTTTTGTGATAATTAACTAAAAAGTCATACAAATAATTACCTTGAAATGCTGATCACGGTAGGAGCTTAATTCTACGGACGGGGATGTTATTGAAGACATATTTTTGTCGATTTATTTAAAAATCTGGCAAAAATTCTAGAAAACACCAACAAACATAGCCAAAAATCAAATTAAATTCGTCTGGAAGATGGCGCCACCTAATAACGGTTTGACACAAATTTAACGTTCGCCTGAAGCTATACAACTAAAGATACATATAAACAAAGCAACAAAAATAACGTACCCAGAAGTGTTACTATTTTTTTTATAATATTTGATTTAAAAAAGTTTTACAGTATTCTAAAGTGTCATATTTTTTAATTTAATTGCTCGATTTAAAATGTTTCTTGTAATTTTCATTTTAACCATATACCTACCCACTTCTTTAGAAAGAAATACTTTTTTGCGTTTACTGCAATAATTTATAATTTTGCTGGACCACCGACGTTGTATTTATTTATTTGTTTAAGGTGCAATTAACATCTTTTAAATTTTCAATTTTAGAGATACATAGTTTATTAAATGGGGAAAAAATTGCGCATTTTTATTTCGATCTATAAACTAAAAAGAAATTCGACTTTGTTTATGTACCTATATGGTAAAAACCGAAATCTTCAAACGGCTCTCCTTCATAATCAGGTTTTATAATTATATTATTATAATTGAGGGCCTTAAAATAAAAAGAGGATAATGATTTATTAATAATTTTAATTTAAAAAATTTAACTGGTTTATTTATTTTTTTTAAATTTAAATGCAAACATCTATAGGTGCACTTATATTTCCCTTATTCTAAGTCGAGGAGCATCCGTGCAAAACCGGCTATATCCATTTTAATAAAATGTTGGGAAAATGGTAAAAACTCTGTTTTCTGGCCTTTACAGATAAAAAAATGCATCTTGAGTTTTGTGCTCACTAAACTTAATTAAGGTGCATCTTTTTTATCTGTAAAGGCCAGTAAACGGGGAGTTTTTGCCATTTTCCCACGGTGGTCCGTTACTGTTGTTGCTTAGTTTATTTGTAGTTGGCATCACAGAACACAGTTGTCATGGAAACACAATCAAACTTTTCAGCTAATTGTTGTCTTTTAGCAATTCATAAATTCGAAGTTCTTCCAAAACATCATAAAAAATGAATTCTTTTGAAGGTAGGACTTGTTACAGGTAAAATATATTTTTATTAGTGTAATTTTCAGTACCAAGCTCAACAATTGATGATTTGGACATTTCCCATTCCTTTGAAGACAATGACGAACGATACTTTTCCGAAGTTGTGGGCCATATAGAAGAAATAATTATGAATGAAAACTTTCAGAGCATACAGCAAGACTTTATGGAAAAGCATTGGACTCAATTTGAGGATGACGAAGAAAACAGATTAATTTATACTGACATTTTTAAAGAATACCAAAACACAGTGGAAAAATACATTGAGAAAAGTCTTTTGGAAAAAATGCCCCATTTTGATCCAAATAAATTTGATGAAGAACTTAGCAACAGGAAATTTGAACTTGAGGGGGAAATTTTTGAGATGTTATCAACTTTTTCCAATTTTATTTCGTTTAAAAATATGTTTATTGATTATAAAAAAGTAAGTACCTACCTATATAAGGTCTTTTACCAGAAAACACGTTTTGTTACTTACATTTCTGCAGTACTGCTATCATAGAAAAAGGATATAAGAAGTGCGCCCTCTGTGTTAAACGAGGGAAACACGTCTATCATGACTCCCCCTAGTTGATGGGCCGGACTCAGCTCATATTGATTTTGACATACCAGGGCCGGCTTTTAAATTTTTTTTTTAATTTTAATAATTTTTAATTTTATTAAAAAAAAAAAACAAAATAGTGAAACATTTGTTTATTTACAATAAAAATCCTAATGCATTATGTGAAAAAATAAGATTTTTAAAATATTCTGTGACTAAAAGTGTACAAACTATATACAATGATTACAATTGTAGAAAAAGGCTATATCATATTTTGTTTTTATAAATTTGAATATTGTACGTACATTAATGTACATTCCTAAAAATTGTCCAATATCAACATAAAATGTATCAGTCCTAAAAATCTTACAAAAAAACAGTTAGTACAGGATCTAGTGGAATTAAAATCAAATTTAAGAATAAAAATACTACCCCTTAAAAATTTAAACAAAAAACTAATATTCTTAACTAAATAATATTATATGCATTATATATGTATATATTTTAAGTAAAAGTATGTATTTACAAAAATATAATGACAATAATATTATTTCCTTGCAAAAATATCTTTTATTAAGATATTAAAAAATAATGCATTACAAAAATTCAATTTAATGATTAACATATTTTGGAATTTTTATCATAGAAAACGTTGTATAATTTAAAGCCTATTCAATTTGATTGATTATAGTTTGTAGTTCACAGGAGTTAACTACTGAACAACATCTTGCAAAAGTATCTTCTTTCTTCAAATAAAGATTCTGTATACATGCTATAGCATGCATTTTTTATTTACAAAAGTTACTATGCAACTCGAATACCAAAGTTTTTCAATAGTAGATTGGGTCCCATTTGAAGTTATTAGCTTGGATTTATAAGAGTTGATTTGTATTGTAGATTGTTTATGTTCTCAGATTGGTTTACAGCAGATTTCATATTCCCACTTTAATTGTAGTTTGTATTGCATTTATGTTCTTAGGTTGGTTTTCCATATTTTCCTGATTCCAACTTTATTCAAAGATTTTGTTGAATTCATGCATGAATGTAAGTATGGTTTATGTTCTCAGGTTGGTGTCCCATGGCTTCCAAATTCCAACTTCCAACTTCCTTTTACAAATCAAAAAACAAATTAACAAACATAAAAAACAATGTTAAGCAAAAATATTGTGGGCAGTCTTTAGATATAAATATAGGTAGTAAAAATAAATATACATTCTAACACCAATAAGATTTAAATTAAAAAAATTCTACAGTCTTTTAAAAAATAAAATTTAAAAAAATATTATTTGGCCTGATGAAATTTCTTTAGTTTTTTGTAATGTCCCACAGTTAAATCCTTTTTGGATGCATTTTTTTCTTTAACATATCTAAAAATATTTAGGCGCACACATTTTTCAAAAATTTGAATGTGGCAATTATGGACATTACAAAAACAAAAAGCATCCAAAAGTGAATTATTTAGTTGCCTAAAATTTCTTTCTAAATATTGCAAGTGAGCATGTTCATCAAGATATTGATAAAGTTTGACATAAATTATATCAGTAAAATTAATAACATGGTCACTTGCATAGGTCAACCTTTTTATTTCATCGTGCTCCTTATAAAATGTTAAGAGGTTATTGGGATTAAATTCGTCAGAAAATAAAAGTTCTCGACAAGAAGTACAGTCAGGAACATTTATTTTGTTTAAAATATAACCAGCCACGTACCCCTCCTCATCATCCTCCTCATCTACATTATTTGCCAAAGAATTTAAATCAAGATTCGTTTCTGGCAGGTTGTTGATAAAAGCCGCGAAATCCCCTAAAAACTTGCAATTATCTTCTTCACAATTACCCCCTTTATAAAGAGGGCTTGTGAAGTTATTAATAATTACAGTCTTAAGGGCAGCAACGAATTGATGGCAAGTGGGATTCGTATTACATACCCCATGTTGCCTTATCTGCCCAAACATATTTTCCAACGGGTCCTGATTTAAATTTCTTAAGGCCAAATACTGTAGTCCTTCCGCCTCTAAATTGCGCCAAAGAAATTGTATGGCCCTAATACTTATTTGCCAACCTTCAATAAACTTGAAGTTTGTATGCAAAGTTTTTGTATTAATAAGGTGACCAACTATTTTTTGTTCAAAAAGAGTACACTTTGCAAGTACTTCATAGGTGAAAAAAAAAACGATAAAAACCCTATTTTATTTTAAAAACATATTTTTCTTCAGGGTGGATTTTTTTTGCTAAGTAAGGATGTTCGCCTATTAATGTAGCCACATCCGAACAAATTTCATTTTGCATATTAAATTTGACTGCTAAGACGGCAGATAATGTTTTTACGGTGTTTTTCTCACTGCTCCAATAATCATTCCCTAGTGAAAATACCCTTTCAAAAGCAGCATTAGTGCCTGGACAACATAAGGAAATTTCTATTAAAACTTAAATTTTCATGTGGGATATGTTTTACTCTAAAATGCCGAAAGATTTCTACCCATCTTTTGTTAAGTTCTATTTTCTCATCGCGACCGCGGTCGTTGTTAGAAAAAGAGGTCTGTAGTATCCATAGATTTCTTTTTAATATATGGTAGTATATATTATCTCTCCAGGTACATAATACGGCCTCTCAATTGTGCCGGAAACGGCAGCAATATGCGCGCGTGAAATTCAAATCACTGTCAAAATAATTTTAAATATTTAATTAATAAAATTGAAATAAAATAATCTAAAAAAATGTTTTAGAAATACAAATGAGTATAAAATTATACAAATGAGTACTTTCAGAGTACAGGATTTGAAAAGAGTACGGTTTGCGAAAAACGAGTACAAAACTCAGTAAATGAGTATAGTTGGTCACCTTAGTATTAAGGTCATAAAGTTTCCATTTAGCTAATTTAGGTAAAATGGACGACCAAAAATCTAAATGTGGAGAATCCTTAGATAAGGCACATTTAATTTTTTTTCCATCACAGGCTCTTGGATTGTTCGAATTTAAAGAGTCAAACAGTGTATCGACCATATAAACAAATTCCGCAGTATCAAGGGTAGGTTTTGGCAAATACCCATAACCATGAAAAGTTTCTATAGCAGATGCAACAATTGTAGATTTAAAATGCTAGTGCTTTTTTTTGTAAATTATATTATATAAATGAATAATTATTATACCATCCCCTTAAAGCAGAACTGAGGAGCGCCCGGTCAAAAAAAAAAAATTCCCGGCGAAAATTCAACTAGTTCATGGGGGTCATTTTCGTCTGTAATCACCCTTTATAATGGTCGAAGCATAGATTAGATAAAGTCCAATATTTTTTATTTAAGACCCAAAAACAAGAGGCCTGATCAAAACCAATACTCAACTATTCTGCCCTTAGTCAGGCATATTGACAAGAATATTTCTGCTTTAATATTCTATATATTATTATATTATATTCTGTTCAAGTAACCATAATTAAATTTATTAGAAATTCATTAGTTAAGGATATAAAAGCTTTTTATACTGTAGATATATCTTAAATATGAATTAATATTATCATGTGTTTAGATCTTTAAGAAGTAGATTTAGAATCATAGAAAAAGAATGAAAGTGACTATTATTACAATTAGTAAACCTTGGTTAAAAACTAATATTTAGGCTCAGAATTAACATTTGAAATAAAACAAAAAGAATTAAACTGCTTCTATAATAAATGGCAAGTTTTCAATTTCAAATAATTTTGTTTGCAATCAATTATAAATTTTTACAAATAAATTTTGTAATATTCATGTTTATAGTTTGTAATATTTTTGTTTAATTTGTAGCTAGCTAAGGTGTTTAAAGCTCAAATGTTTATAACCAAGCGAGGGGTAAACCACTGATTTTTAAAATTAAAAATCGCTTACGAATTAACGGCTAAGGATAACAATAACAAGGGTATACCCCTGACTATAGTCATGTACAACGCGTCGCTAAGCACTGATTAAGCACCGATTAAGCAAGTTTTCCTTATTGATAACAACTGATAAGGAAAAAAATCTCAACACAATGTCCACTAACATTGAACGGTTGTCTCTAAGATTTTAAAGTGGTTTACCCCTCGTAACCAAGCCATAGAAAAATCGTGGAAAACCAAGCTTTGCTAGAAAGCAGTTTTGAATATTACTAATATTTGTACCCACCAACAAAATACTTACGTTTTTAAACTATATGTCCTGGACCCAAAATATCATAAAACTTGAAATCACCAACTTTCTTTGTGGCACAAAGTTTGTGAAACCTTCTTTCAAGTAAAACTAAAAAAATATCATTATCATTAGTAAAATTTTAATATTAATAATAATAGTCATAATAAAAATATTACCCAATGCTAAATTTAATTCTAAATGTTTTTTCAAAGATTTTACAAAAATGCACCAGCATTTTACTTATTTACTTAAAGCATAACTAACTATTCTTTGTCCTTAGTCATGAAAATCAACATAGTTAAAATAGTTCTGCTTTAAGAAAATACATATTCTGTTAAAGTACATAATGTAAATTAGGTACATTTATTAGATATAAAGGTTATAAAAGCCTTTTAATATGTAGGTAGATCTTTACAAAGTAGATTTAAAATGAAATTGAATATTATTAAAATATAATAATTAGTAAAACTTGGCTAATAATTTATTTATAATTTATTATTAATAAACTTATAATACCCATTTAACTTTTGTAGACCAACATACAAACAAAAAACCTATAGGTACCATATTTAAAACTTGTCGGTTTTTTAGCCAAGCAGTTTAATTCGTCTTATTTCAAAAGTTATACCTACATACAAACATACATACCTGTATACCTACATTTAAACAAAATACTTGAGTTTTCAAACTACATACATAATATGTATAATATATATTATACATAATATATATTATACATAATATGTATATTATATATTATATAACATAATATGTTATATATTATATGAAATATCAAACCCATAAGACATAAAACTTGGAAACAATATACTTTTTCTATGAAGAAAATGTACCATAAAATTGCACAAATCCTACTTAATAATAATAAACAGAACTTGCTTTGACAGTTAAACAATTATTGGTTTTACGACGTTGCCGAAAGTGGTACGTTTTGTTTTAATTACAGGTTACTGTAATCTGTGCACGAACTGGCAACGCATCGTGGGGGAGTCATGTTTCCAATTCCCCCGCTTATGTTTCACCCCCCTGACTGCTATTTTCAGCACTAGTGTGATTTTTCAGACTAACTATATTTTTTTTTAGATGAAGGAAGAAAAGTTGGCAGAACTTTCATTCCATATATCAGTTTTAAAGTACAATTGAACCAAGAACACAGAATGATTAAACTTTATTGAATAAAAAAATGTACAAAATAATTAATGCATTAAAATTTCCATTTGAACCAAACGGCTGTTTGTATCACCTGGCATTCTATAGGGCAACATACCAGCAAAACTGGTGAGAGTTTTTGCTTGATTTCTGAGATTGGACAATTGCTAAAATAAAAATATTAACAATAATGATTAAAACAGTTAAATATAAGATTTTTACTTTATCTATTCCAGAATCATTATATCTAGGAATATATTCGCTTCCTTTAAGTTTTTGGTACTGCGCAAACAGCATATTCATTGTGGCCAGTAGAATATCAGGAATAACTTTACACAAATCATCGTTTAGGTTTTTAAAGCTTTTAATTCGTTCATCAACATCGGCTTCTTGTAGTGGGACTATTTGGAGCTCATTTAAAGTCTAAATTAACAATATTACTACAAAAAAATTATCACAAAAACACGTTAACTCACCTTGATAGCTTGCGGGAATAATTTTCCATGATACTGATCGAAAAACATCAACAACTCGCTGAGTTTCAAGAAGGACGTAACCAATTTTGTGGATCCAGCTTTATAACCTTCCCGTAAGAATCGCTCTCTGAAAACTCTCGTTTTCTGTTGCAGGCGGTTTCTTAAACTTCCATCTTCGCCTTGTAAGTGAACAACTTGCGACAACATCGCGCAGAGAAGATTAAGAACCTCTTCCTGTTTCTAAAAGTTAAACCGCATTTTAAGGGCCCTTTTACAACCAACTTCTTTTTTTTTTGGCAGAAATACGGCGCCCAATAAAAATGTCCATAAAAGTCACGGTAGGTACCGTATTTTCACTCGAAAAGTAAACAGTGCCGAGTGCATCTCAATATCTTGAAAAAGAGTGGGGACAATTTGCAGCGGCGATGACACGATTATTTGTTATGTTTTATTTATAAAAACGTTTAAACATAAAACAATTCTCTTGAAATTAAACTAAACATGCAAAACCTAATAAAATAAAATAGTTTTAAGTTTGATTTCAGGAGAAATATTTTATATATAAAAGACACTTTTTGGTTAATTGCATACCAAATAATGATTTATATACATTACTTAATTATTAATTTACTGTTACATTTTAAGTACCTGAATCATTTTTAAAAGTTAATTAACCTTGTGGAAATTTTTCTCTTAAAAACTGAGAAAAGGCTTCAATAGTTGAAGAGAAGTGGTTTAGCGATAAAAATAAATATTCGAAATTCATCAGAGAATTATTTGATTATTGTAAAAGAAAATACAAAGAAAAGTATTTATAAACATTATTTTTCTGTGGTTATAAGGCTTATAACAAAACAGAAGCAATGTTTACAATATATGCCAGGTTTATTTCAATTTATCAAAATAAGACTGTTGAGACAAACATTTGGTTTGTGTACATACAGATAACTTGTTGATTACGGTGTTACGGTGTTCGACTTGCTTTTATAGTAAGTACAAGGGTTTTAAAATATGAAAAATTGAGCCGGCGAAAAAAAACCGGTTTTTTTTCTGTAAAAATCGAAAAAATTACTTTTTCATTTTATTTTAAGGGTAATACGAAAAAAAATTAAATATCAATTTTTCTGAAAATTTTCAAATATCTGTTACTGTGGTATAAAGAAAAGAAATTTTCGACTCTGATTATAATAATATGTATAATACAAGATTATAATAATTATTCGTATTATTATAATTCAGTAAGAATCTTCTACAGGGTCGCAAAAAAAAAACAAATTTGGTTTTATTTTACACATCCATTTATAAAATTATTATTTATAAATTTAACTTCACATTCATTATTTTGTAAATGGATAATTTGTAAATGGATATTTTCAATGGACTCCCTTTTTCAAAAAAGACCCAACCGACAAGATATTTAACGTTTGCGTTTTCTTTCTTAAATCAATTCAATTCAATGTTTTGTTTTGTTTTTGTAATAAATGTATTATCCTAAAGGATATTTTTTTTAAATTAAAATAATGTTGAAAGTTGTTGAATGCTTTGTATATTTTCAAAAAAAAAATCAGTTTACCCAAAAAAAAAAACAATTTTTTAAAGGACTGGGAAAAAACGGAAAAAGTTTTTTTCACAATTTTGTGGTTTTTTTTTCGACACTTTAAAACCCTAGTAAGTACTTAATCTGGACGCGTGAACAACCGTTCACATGACAGCCAGCTGTGATCTAATTGGTCAGCTAAGAAAATCGATATTGCGTTTACAGTCGCCCAGTACACAATAGGTCAGATCAATATTTGCGTATAAAATAAAACGTGCAGTGGCAACAATGGAAGCAAGTCAAGCGAATCGTATGCATTGCAAAAAAATATGATTGCAATAATTATTACACCTTGTGTATTCACTTAGTGCATTTTATGTATTCTGGAAGCGAGATGTACCTTTCTATGTTTAGACTGTGGTATTGTGATAAACTGCAATAAACTTGGCTTATAACACAGATAAAAATTTTATAAAATGTTTATAAATACTTTTCTCCGTGTTTTATTTTACAATAACCATATACATTGCATATTATACAACATCTCTGAATAATTCCGAATATTTATTTTTATCACTTCTCTGTTGAAAGTCAGAATAACTCTTCCAGAAGACTCCCAAATCTTGCTTTGCTCTCTTATTTTAAGTTTTTCCGACATAATAAGTATTATTCTGAATTTTAAGAGAAATTAGGACTTTGAAAACTCTTATTTTTACTTATTAAATTAGTATTAATCGCAATGCAATGGCACACCGTTTAAACATTTATTAAATAATTTTTTAATTTGAAATTTTAGTGGTTTAAAATTTTCCTAACTAAAAATTTTAGGTTTACATTTATAATTCAACCATCATGTATTGGGTAGAATTTTGGAAATCTTAAATAAATATTTTATAAAATTATTTAGATTACAAAATAGTAAAAAGACATTTAAAAAAAACACATATGAAACATTGTCTACCAAAATAGTTAAATGTTTTTAAACTAAAACAATTGATAATAAAAAAATGCAACTGTTAAAAGTTTAAAAATATTGATTTTTAAAAATTTTACTTTTAATATTTTATTCCACAAAATTATCGGTTTAAATTTGTAAAGAGTCATTTAAAGTTGGTCGATGATAAATGTTTAATACAATAATTCTTACATTATATTTAAATGTTGGTTTTAAATTTTAAAGTGGTAATTTTTGGATTAAAAATTTATCGATTATCATTTAAATTACTCTTGAGAAATTTAAACGATAACTTTTGTTTGTAATAATTTTAAATTGATTCATTTTTAATTCACAAAGTGTAAACGCTGCTTTAGCTGCAGACTTCGCGCTTTGTACGTTTCACCGACTAAAATTGACCACTCTAGAAAGGGACAGCGTACGCCGTCTGCTAAAGCTACATTTACACTTTTTAAATTAAAAAGCTACATTTACACTTTTTAAATTAAAAATTATCGACATTTCAATGTAAAGATATAAATTTGGTATTAAAAATGTCTCAATTTAAAATATTACCACTTTAAAATTTAAAACTTACATTTGAATGTAATGTGAGAATTTTTGTATTAAAAGTTATTGACTATCATTTTAATGACTTTACAAATTTAAAAGTAGTAAAATATTAGAAATAATTTTAATTCAATATTACAAAACTAAAGTTTTACAGCTGCATTTTATATTTAAAATATTTTTTGACTATCAATCGTCTATACCCCAACGCCAGTGACTCGACGCTAAATATCTGTTGTCATGAGACTGCAGCGTTGTTGGCGTTGAAGCGATATTCCCCTATTCACAGAATTTCTCCACTCTTAAAAGCCAATTGCGCCAGCTGTTTAAACCAAAAATGAAAATACGGTATAAACGTTCAAATAAAGTCATCTACCAAAAAACTCCCATTCATTTAAAAATTGTCTTACATTTGCAATATCAAAAATGTCAATGGCTTCCTCGTACAGCCCCTTCTTCAGCAAATTATTCCCGATAATCTCGGCAATGCTTTCAGTGCTTATGGACGGCGTTGTGAACTGGTCAGCCAAACCTTTAACCCTGATCCCGCTGTTTTGGACTGTACCCAAAATGGCGTCGTACTGTTTCGTTTCGAGGCAGAGATCGCTGACGCACAATTTAAATAAGTTGACGCCTTCGAAGTTGTTAAAGTTGCGAAGCAAAAAGAAGTAGTGGAGGGCTTCGTCGAGACAGCTTAGCTCGAATTTACGAACGTAGAGCATTATGAGGCGAGCTAGGTTAAGACGACGCGCTGGACGGTCATCGCAAGGATCTATAGAGACTGGAAGAAAACTGTTTTTTCAAAAATATTTGTCAAATAAATGTTATATATAACTCTGGTAAAATCAATGGTAAACTAATAATACTAAAATCACTGTAAGCTTACTCAGAGGTGCTCCGGTATCTTGTGGTCCGCCGAGACTGTACAACTCGTTTAGGGCAATAGCCATGTGCACACTGTGCACCCTGTATTTATCGATCCTCGACAAAAACTCGATTGCGGCCTCGAATTGGCCGGTCAAAGCCAAAACTTGGAAGTACAAGTGAGGCTGATTGAAAGCGTCGTAGTGAGATTCGCCATATTCTTCCAGAATTGTGTACTAAAATAGGGTTTGTTAAGTTAAGACATAAAAAATGTAATTTATGATTTAGGATAGTTAGATAGCCAAATTTGGGGTAGAAATCTGTTTTACCTACTTTCAATGGTAGTGTTGTGAAATTTTTCTGTAAAAGTCGAAATTTATTCTTTAAAAATGAACTAACAACCATTTAATCCAATATAAAAGCAGTTTTTCACAGTAAAATAAAATAGGGTGTTTTATGGGTACCAAAATTTTTAATGCATTATTGGCAAATACTAGTTTACTGCCAGCGAAATTAAAAGGCCAGATCATGTACAAACGTGATAAAATAATAAAATATTTTCAACATTAAGTATTATTTTACAACCAAGGCACTTTATTTTGACGATTGTAAGACATTTGACAACTGTCAACTAACTTAAAGATCAGCCCGTGACTAAAAAGACCGAAAGCCACTGCTGCTTACCTCAGCCCATGACTAAAACGGTATAAAGTCACAGTTTGTCAATGTTAATATTTCATCAGGGCCAACCAGGGGAAAATCCTGTCTTTCAACATCGTCGACCCTGATGAAATATAAACATTGACAAACTGTGACTTTATGGCGTTTTAGTCACAAATTCTCGGGGCGCGGGTCCCCAGTTTACAGGTACTATACAAAAGTGTCCCACCACGTGACTTTGATAAAAAAAGGTAAGGTTAATTTTTCGTCAGTGTCAAGCTTATTTTGTCCTATTTTCTGAAATTAATGCAATATAATTGCTGCCAAAACTACATGTTTTTTTATAATTTTGTAAAAAAACGTTTAAAAATAGGGAAATTGTTGCCGTTCTTAGTAAACAATACACATATGAATAATATTTAGTAACTTTATAGTTTAAAGTTGGTAATGCTAATAACGTCATTACATTGATGACGTGCACCCATGCAGATTTGGCCGCGAGTATATATGTGTAGGTTTCTGTATAATTGTGGCACCTTGTGTGTGCATAAAGCTGAATTATGGCTACATCCAAAATTGTGACACCATACACGAGGTGCCACAATTTATTTCCTCAATTCTGGCTTCCTCCGGTCATATATTAAACTAATATTTTGCCAGGTCATTTGGTTTTGATATACGTCGGCATTAGCCTATCTTCTGTTGACGTTTGTGCAAAATAATATAAATTATTCAAATAAATATAAAAATATGTGTATGTTGCCACAATTTGGGATATATAAGTACGTTTAATTTCTAATAGTTGTGGCACTTACACATCACATAGTAATGTGGCGCCCCCTTTCGTGAAAATATTATTGAAGGCGTTGTTGTCAGATTTACGGCAGCTTAACTTATATTCAATATTAACTGGTTGATTTGCTTTGCGCGCACATCCAGACAAGCATTGTAATACTTGTGGCAACCTACCTATAAATATACAAATACCTATAGAAATAATATTTGTATAATAGTTGATAATAACATGATCCTTTATTTTCCTAAATACAATAATAGTTGTTATAGTATATAAACAATAATACATATGCACTAATTTTACTCTTATTTCACATTTGCTTCGATATATCCATCTTTGTAAGTTTTTATTATCTATAAAAATCAATATTATTTTAATAGAAGGCCATGGAATTAAACTTAATTTAACTTTAAATTATTAGCTATATTTCCTTATTTTATTTTAAAATAAAAATTAAGGGAACTTTTCTCTTGGTCCAACTATCAATTTTCCTATATTATGTTATTTTAAGTTTTAATAGTCTTATATTATATTTTTAGCAAAACTTTTTATAAGGAGTAACTTTTCTTTGTAAAATTAACAATAAAAAAGTTCTTTCTTGGACCATTTTTAAATTATTCTACTTTATGACCACCTACATACTACAGGCTGTCCACCAAGGGTAGGGGGTATTTGTAAGTTCAATAAAAATAAAACTACAAGCCACAAAAAAATATTTTTTTTTTAAATTTTTAGACAAATTTTTGGAAAATTAAGTCCCAAGGATTTTGTTGTCCAAATGTTGACCCTCGCGCTGCTGGCATTCCTCTAACCGAAAACGGAAATTAACTATCACGCGTCTACTCATATCTCTGAAAACAACGGCCATTTCGTTGCGGATGTTGTGCTTCATTTGCAGGAGAGTTCGTGGTCTATTTTCATAAAGTTTTTCTTTAAGGTATTCCCATAAAAATAATCAAGTGATGAAGGAATCATTGGGCTTTACATTTTTGAAAACCGACGAGGACTAGCACTTACGGTAAACAGGTTAACCGTTCACTGCATGCAGTGAACGGTATTGCGACATGTTAAAGAAACTTTTTGATTCCACAACTGCAGAAGTTTGAAGGTTTTAATGTGGAAACATGGTTTCAACAAGATGGGCCTCTTGCCACCCCTTAAATCAGTCACTTAAGGTTTTCAATCAAATTATACCGAAAAAAGTGATCTCTCGACGTGGCACCATTAACTGGCTTCCGAGAAGCGCCGATCTTACACCATTTGATTATTTTTTATGAGGAAACCTTAAAGATAAAGTTTATAAAAACAGACCACGAATTTTCCTGCACAAGATCCTCACTGAAAGGGCCGCTGTTTACAGAGATATGTGTAGAGGCGCAATAGTGAATTTCCGTTTTCGGTTAGAGGAATACCAGCAGCGCGAGGGTCAACATTTGGACAACAAAATCTTTGGCACTTAATTTTCCAAAACTTTGCTAAAAATTAAAAAAAAAAAATTTTTCATGACTTTTTGTTTTATTTTTATTGAACTTACAAATACCCAGTACCCTTTGTGGACACCCTGTATTTTAAATTTTAATAGTTTAATAATATTTTTTTAGAATTGAGCACTTTAAAATTTTAAAACCGTTAAGATTTTTAATTTAAATAGTTTTCTTAACGTAAAAATTTTTATAGTAAAATAAATTATTAACTTTTAATAATAAAATATAATATAAGTGTATTATTAGTACACGATTTTGGATAGCTCCGTATATTTTAATATATTGGAGTACTAAATGTTTTTAAGTAATAGTACATACCTTTTAATAATATACTAAGAAGACTTATTTGCTACTAATTAAAAAAAAGGTTTTACATTTTAAAATGTATCCAATGTTTAATATTTAAACTAAATATAACACAACGTAGTCTCGAGAAGCCGATTAACAATTTCCTGCAGAAATTTACCATAAAACGAACTTCCAACGTTATACCAAACTTGGCAACACTGCTAAGAAAACACATGCACAATTGTGGCGTCTCTGTGTATTTTGGCCAACACATATATATTTGTGGCATCCGACATACACGTAGTCGAATGTTCCTGATGTATGGCACGGTTGCCACAATTTTAATTGGGTGCAGATCACTGTAATTGGCGTGTATAGCAAAAATAAAAGTACCAATATAATCCGCCAAATGGCGTCCTAAATCTATGGTGTTTTTAACAGAAATGCCACAATTTGGGATATAGCACAGGTTGCCACAAGTATTACAATGCTTGTCTGGATGTATGTATTTTTTTGTGTATAAAGGTCTTAATTTAGAACACAAAAAATACTTATATTGTATTATTTTCAGAAAATTTACTAACAGAAAACTAACCTTAATTATTATAGGTACTATGCTCCACACCTCAAAGTCCCACCACGTGACCACGTACGGAACGCAGTCTTTTGAAAATTTGGCATTTAAGGCTTTTCAGGTTATGTATCTGTCAAAGTATAGTCAATGAAAGAAATAATATTATTACCGCTTATGTTTAAGCGTTAAAAGTTAATAAATCTTTATAGTATCACAATAACAATAGTTGGTTTAAGAATTTAGGAATATAAAAACTGCATTTAATAAAATTCCAAAGTGTAAGGTGCAATATAAGTGATATTTTTGTGCATTGGGTCTACATTTCTCCATAAAATAGTTTTAACTAAACAGCATTTATTAAAAAAAATCTTCTCTATTATGAAATAAGAATATCTGTTTCAAAGGTAGGTTAATGTATTAGAACAAAAAATATCATCTAATTTTGTATTTTAAGGTTAGAAAAATCTATTTTGACCAAAATAAATAAGTGGATTATTTGGAAGAGTGTGTTAATATGGTCATAAATAAATATGGGTATACTAAATAATTGTTGAATATGGTTCAAATTAAATTGAAGCTTTTATACTTCTAATGACAAAACTTGTGCATACCTCTCGGCATACCTACTTTAAGTTAGATTATAAGAAAACAAACAATTTTTAGAGAAACTTGCAATGTGAAAATATTTAATACTCCCATGACATTTGATTTATTTAAATTTTTAAAGTTATAATGATTTTTTGATGTAGATCAAATTCAGTCGAAGCTTTTTAACTATTTGTATTGACAAAACTTTATGTAGATACACTTTAAGCTGGATAAGAAAAACTACCACATTTTTAAATACCATATTATACATTTTTTTAAATAATCCAAAATACTTATTTATTTTGGTCAAAATAAATTTATCTAACCTTAAAATTACAAAATTAGATGATATTTTTGTTATCGCTGTGTCTAGTCTCACGCTAGCGTGAACGCAATTTTATTCTTATTCTCACGCTAACGTGAACGCAATTTAATTTTCATTCTCACGCTAAAGTCAAAATAATTTTATTCTCACGTTAACTTCGTATATATAAATACAGATTAAAGCCTTTTGGTTTTTGGTTAAACCTAAGGCTGCCAACTTTGCCCAGGGGCGGTTTTAGACATCTACTGAGGGGGGGGGGCGAAAATAGAAAAAGCCCTTGTGTAGTGGACATAATTCTGCCAGCATTATTTTATTTAATTTTACTTTTTAGGTGTCGTGTCATTTGATTTGATTATTATTTGATTATGTCATTTGATTTGATTAAGAAAATGTAATAAAATTTACTAATAATAAAATCAAGACTCTTTTACTGCAGCCAAACCAACCCAAACTCAACAACACAACCCAACTGACCCCGCCCCATTGGGCACCCCCGCATTATTTTATTTAATTTTACTTTTTAGGTGTCGTGTCATTTGATTTGATTATTATTTGATTATGTCATTTGATTTGATTATGCAAATGTAATAAAATTTACTAATAATAAAATTGAGACTCGTTTACTGCAGCCAAACCAACCCAAACTCAACAACACAACCCAACCGACCCCGCCCCATTGGGCACCCCCGCATTATTTTATTTAATTTTACTTTTTAGGTGTCGTGTCATTTGATTTGATTATTATTTGATTATGTCATTTGATTTGATTATGCAAATGTAATAAAATTTACTAATAATAAAATCGAGACTCGTTTACTGCAGCCAAACCAACCCAAACTCAACAACACAACCCAACCTACCCCGCCCCATTGGGCCCCCCGCCCCATTGAGCAAAAAACCCAACTAAAATGGGCAAAATGAACGATTTTCCAATAGGTAGTTAGTTTTAACTGATCATTATTGTTGTTTTTGTCCATGGCAATACATTTTACGTACACTTGGCAGATTTCACAAATCGACCAAACCACCTGCCAACGTTTAAAAAACCTCAAAACCGCGAAAATTAGATTCACAGAACAAATTAGATTCTTGAAAGAATCTTAGGTTATGTTACCTTTAGTGACGTCACCGCGTGAGAATAAGAATAAACTTGCGTTCACGCTAGCGTGAGACTAGACACAGCGTTTTGTTATAATATATTAACCTACCTTTAAAACAGATATTCTTATTCCATGATAGAGAAGCTAGATTTTTTTTAATAAATGCTGTTTAGTTAAAATCATTTTATAGAGAAAACCAGATGTTTGGACCAAATGCACAAAAATATTACTTATTTGGCACCATACACTTTGGAATTTCATTAAATGCAGTATTTATATTCTTAAATTCTTACACCATCCATTGTTATTGTAATGTTATAAACATTTATACATTTTTAACGCCTAAACATAATATTATTTCTTTCATTGACTATACTTTGACAGATACATAACCTGAAAAGCCTTAAATGCCAAATTTTCAAAAGACTGCGTTCCGTACGTGGTCACGTAGTGGGACTTTGAGGTGTGGAGCATAGTACATACAAATAGCTAAATTAATTTATAAACGAAACTAGAGGCCCAAAAGGCTGAACAGTCCCATGGCCCGTTTCGGCTCTCGGCGGCCCTGATGGAAACATGGTTTTTTGTTAGACTGAATTGTCACTCTGGTTGTTAAATAACACACTTTTAAGCTAATGCGTTTTTTTGCAACATATTGGATTAATATATATTTAAACATTCTTGAAATTTAATGTGTTTTGAAATCTAAAAATGTTTGGATCTTTTAAATATTTCTGGCATTTTAAAATGTGTTGTTAATATTTTTAATATTCTTAAATGTATTCTTAAATATACTTAATATACTTATTAGGGTGATTAAAAAAAATTGAATAATTTCTTTTACTTCCCGCACGGAAAAATTGGTTCTTAGTCTAGCACTGTATAGAGGTGCCTAAGAATCTTCATCACAGTTTTTATTTTTTCTCTAAGCCCTTATAAAAAAGAACATATTTAAATATTAATCAATCTTTATACATATTTTTGTAGGAAATTAAATGCTCTACAAAAAAGGACAAATGTGTTTAAGCAATTACTGTAACCATTTATAAGATATTCAAGATCAAGTTGGAATAATATTTTTTTAAATTTTTTAACTCATTGAAAAATAATTATTGTCGATTAATTAAAAATGAAATATTTTTTTATAAGAGACTAAATTTGGTGAGCACTTTCTAAAGGCGTCTAAAAACCAATTTTTCAGTGTCGAAAGGAAAAATAAATACATTGGATTTTTTTGAGTATTATTTGTGAGCCTTCTTAAATATGCTTAGCAGTTCAAAGTGTTTTTAACATTTCAAAACGTGTTTTTGATAATCTACCTAAAATGTTTTTGACATTTTAACTTCTATATTTCAGAAATTCTAAAATAGTTTTTTATTATTCATAAATAAGTTTTTTAAAATTTAAAATTCTTTAATATATTTATAATATTTTAAAATATGTCTTTTACACTCTAAAATTTGGTTCTGGTATTTTAAATTGTGTTGCTGATATTCTTAAATGTGTTTGACAATCTCAAATTTCTTTCTGCAATTCTTAAATTTGCGTTAACCTTTTTAAAAGTATTGAAATTTAAATAATGTTTAAATTTAAATTTTTGACATTCTCAAGTACAAAATAATGTATTCTATGCAATATTTACCTGTAGATCTGCATATTTGATAAAATCATCCTTATCATAATCAACTCGAACCAAACTTAATTTCAACCACAAATAATCATCGGCTGTTCTAGCGACTTCCGAATGTTCATCTGTAACATCGCAGCAGCTCAAAACCGCCCAAATTATCCTTTTGAACGGATCAGTCTCATTTCTGATGAACCTTCTATAGTGAAATCTTAAATTATCCTCCAACTTCGATAAATCAGCGCTCGAATTCGACAATTTTGCTTCCAACAACGTGATCAAGTCATCAAATTCGCTTGTATTGCTTCTTTTCAAGCAATAAATAGCCGCTGTTATGTCTCCTGATCTCAAACAATAATAAACCATGGGCCACAATGGTCTATCGTCGATTCTGCCATCCTTTAAACCAATGTACTCCCCTTGAAGTCTCAACCCTACAAAACTTCTTACCAACGGGTAGGTACCAGGAACACCGCCTCTAGCAGCTTGCGAGAGATTTTCGTTTATGATGTTGGACATGTATGTTTTGTAACGATCTTCGAGGTATTTTTTGCCTTGTTTTACTAGAGCGTTGACGTACAGTTTTGAGTAACGTGTTTTAATGGCATCCTCAGATTGAGGGAATGACGGTGTTTGGGTCATGTACCTTATTATTTCCCACATATCTTTGACTTTCTACAAATTTTGAAATAAAATACCCATACTAACTAAACATTTTAAATTTCCGGAAAAATTGGAAAAAAACGAAATTAATAAACGAAAAATTAATATTTTGTTATAAACTAGAAAAACGTGTTTTAATTGCCAGGCATGCTTTAAAGTATTAAGTTTTAGTATTTCAAATAATATTTACACATTATTTTGTTGACGAATTGGCGCGGTTTTATTTTTTATTCACAAATTATTCTTATGTTTCAACACTAAATATCATATAAGAATTTTTATTCTGCGAATATTTAAAAATTAAATTAAATTTGTATGCCAAACTGATATTTTTAATTTAGTGAATTTAAAAATTTGATTCTTATATTTATGGCAAGCCGTTTTATTATTTGATGTATAATTTTTATACAATTAAAAATTAATTAATTTTTAGGAATATAAAATGTACCGTATTTAAAATGGTTACAATTTCCATTATGATTGATAAATATATTTGGACAAATTAAAAATTAATTAAAATTAATTTCACAAAGTTCCATTCCATTATAATGGATTATTTAAAATTTAGTTGTACACAAATTTAATTTAAAATACATTAAATAGTAAAAGGGCTTGCGAACTTTGTGAAATTAATTTTAATTTATTTTTGATTTGTCCACATCTTTTTTTATCTTTAAATAATTAGGTTCAATTTTCATGATACCTTATTACAATATCAATTTTTCTGAAACAATACCTGCCTTGCACATGTTGAATTGTTCTTCAAAAATTATTAGAACTGTATGAAAATATAATGTTACAAGAAATAACTCCATATGCAAAGGTGTTGATGTTGAATTCAATGAATTATTTTTTAATAGGTGCACAAATATTTTAATTTTTATTTAAAACTTATTTTAACTCGCAATGTTTTTCATATAATAATGTTAATTCAACTATAGATTTAAAACAATTTAGAATATAATTTTTATTGCTTGAATTAAAATGGTGTATTTTGAAATTAAAATTATGTGTGAATAATTTTAATTGAATTAAAATTATGTACACATAATTTTAGTACGCCCATTTAAAATTATACTGTACATAATTTTAAATCACGAATTAAAATTATACTACAATATAATTTTAATTCTAGAAATTAAAATTATATTAAATATAATTTTAATTCCAGCAATAAATTTATATTCTACATCGTTTTAAATACTTGAATTAATATTACCATAGGGAAAACATTGCAAGTTAACATAAGATTTAAATAAAAATTATAATACATATTTATAGACCTATTAAAAATAATTCATTGAAATAAAATTCAACATGAAAGGTATTTTTTGTAACAATTTTTATTATATTATTCTTCAAGATGTAGCTTGCCATATATATTTTTATTTTTTAGTTAAACATATATTTTTAATTCGCTAAATTAAAAATATCATACAAGAAATTTTTAAATGCATTAAAAATATCAAATATACCTATTTTTATTTCATTTTTATTTAAGCAGATGTTTTTAATTGAAAGTGATATTTTTAATTCAGATTAAAAGTTTGGACACCCCTGGTATTCCAAACTAATTATGTCACTAGTTGGGTGCACAATCATTGGGATCTATGACGTGAGTCCTATTTTGCACTGACACAGCGTCTGCTGAACAAGGACAGTACACGTTAGTTTTTGTTGAAGTGGGTTGGTTTTTGTGAAGTTTGGAATAACAGGGGTATCCAAACTCTCAATCACTCAGAATTAAAAAAATCACATTCAATTAAAAATATCTGCCTATTTAATAAAATAAAAGTTAAATAGAATTAAAAATATCTCCTATGATATTTTTAATACATTTAAAAATTTCTCCTACAATATTTTTAATTTAGCGAATTAAAAATATGTATTGAGCAATAAAATACATACAGAAGCAAATATTTTAAATAAAGTAAATAAAATTATTAGTTTGGATTAAAAATTAAATCTAATTTTTAATTAAACGAATAAAAAATACAAATATAAGAAACAGATATTTTAAATTCAATAAATTAAAAATATCTGTTTGGCATGAAAATTAAATCCAATTTGAAAATATCTGATATAATATAATTAACACATAAAATTAATTCCTAAATAAAAAATAAATAGCGCCCCATACGCGGCTATGTATTTCACAGGCGAATTCCCCTCCGCATTTCGGTAAAACCCCGAAAAAATCAAGTGCCCCACAACATGCAGTTTTGCCTTTGATAATAAATAATATATGTTTAGCTTTACGGATTTGATTTGATAATTATAATTTTTAAATAATTTTTTCCCAATTTTTCCAATGGTCCAGAAAAAAAGCGAAAAAAACCCTGTTCTTTTTCAATTTTCGGAACCATTAACTCTCTAAATACCTACTACTAACTAAATTTTGTTATTACTTACAGCATCTTTAAACTCATTGGCAACCTTCAAGAAAATATCCACCAAATTGGGTTTTTGCAGATCCCTTTTAACCGACGTATTATACTCCTTAACTTTGGCAAAATATATTGTTTCAATTGGTCCCAAGTTCGGAGCAGTTGAGAACGATCTTTCATGCATAATACTTAAAGGTTTCACATTTTCTATTAAACCTCCTGAATGTCCACCCATTGCATACAAAATTTTACGTTTTTCTTGCTTCCATTCACCTGATTGATGCTCCCAAGCATAGTTATAGGCACAGTTTAACATCTATGATACATTATTTTAAAAATATATATTATTATTATCATAAATGACTTACATCATTAAATCCTGTATCAAAAGCAGACAAAATCCTGTTACGTATTTCATTTTCAAGTGTACCAGGAATATCCAAATCTTCTATAGGTTCAATTGGCTCAAAAGTTCTCTTGGTACTTATTGACTCAAGTTTTTGTACAATTTTAGGCAAATCTATACCTTTTGAACCCAAAAGAAGGTTGCTACAAAAAACAAACGTAATTATTTAGCACTAATTTATCAATAAGGAAAAATCCATTGCTGAAACCAGTATTTTTTTGTCATCAAGATAAATGGACATTCTTAAATCAACTGTATCGAATTTAAGTTAACATTTTTAAGACAGATTCTATAGTTTAAGTTAACATTCTTAAAAGGAAGGGTCCAAGTTACAGCTAGGTACACTGGCAACAAATTGTCCTTAAAACTGAACCTATTTTTTTAAATCTAGTGTATATTTTAAAGTCAAAGGCCCTGAGCACAATTTCGCGTTCTAAATATATTACAACATTCTTAATGAATATGTATTTTACATTCTAAAATATGGTTCTATAATGTGTTTTAAAATGAGTTAAACCCAGGTAAATATGAGATTCTTAAATATGAATTTTATTATTATAATGATGCACTAATGCCATACCTAATTTTCTAAACTGTATATTAATATTTTTGATTGTCAAAACATTCTTAAATTTCTAAATTTTTAAGATAACATTCTTATGTGTTTTTGACATTCTAAATAGCTGTTAATGCAATAGCATGCATTTTATTTTTTAACACTAGTGTCACTTTTACGTACTAGTGCATAAAAGTGTTATTTAGCAACCACAGGGGCAACAAAAAGTTATAAAATGCTGTAACATTTTTTTTTATATTCCTAAATGTGGACATTATAAAATTATATTCCTTGAATTTTACCTTACAAAATAAAAATTTTAATATGACATGTTTAATTATATAGCTTTTAAAAATATGCTCTTAAAATGTTGTTGTTTTTCTAGATTTAGTTTTAACTATATTTACTTACGCTTGTATGTCTTTAGCCCCAGTTTGGGCTACTCGAGTATACAAATCATTGGAAGCCTCTAAAACTTGTCTTAATGACCTGTCTACTTTAGGCAGCTCTGCGGTTCCTTCTAAGTCTGATGTGAGTTTTTCTGCTTCTTGCAGAAGCTCAGAAAAATCAGACATTCTTAATTATTTTCGTCTAAAACAAGAAAAAAATGTGTTATTTTTAGGTTATGTTTAGGATTTTGGATATTTACCGAAAAGTATCCACTAATTTTAAGGGAAGATTATATTAAAATGTTTGGAAGCTTATTACCTTGTAAAGTTATTGTAAAAATTACGACATTAACACTGAAAACAACGATAAATTACAAATAACCGCCACTTTTGTATTGTTTGGTTGACAGCAGGCAGTTTTACTTTGTATTTTTTACCAAAATTGTTGGTATACGGATTAAATTTTTATGACGTAGGCAAAGTAGGCAACCCAGATTACGTTACAACAGGTTAATTTTTATAACTTTGGGTTTTGAAATGTTTACAAACAAAAAACTATGTATTATTAAATTACTTTATGCTACTAAAACGACTTATTCTTTAGTAATTAAAAATCTTCAAAATGTTATAAAGCATACCTACATATTATTCTTGTAATTTTCGCGTGTTAGACTTCAATAAAACCACCCCAGCCTAATAAATCACAAAAATCAATGATAATAATTCAAGCCATCTCATTTTTACAGTTCGCGGCGTTATAAACAATCCTTTGTTTTTGGAACCGATGTTTTATCGATATTTCAGGACGAATCCTTGCGTGGGCGAAACAAATGAGTCCTGCCCACGTTCCGCGGTCCTGCACCTCCAATTGTTTAGTCGCTTAAGGACGTCGGCTATATTTATATCGAGAGTGCGGCGCCAGAAAAAGAACTAACATAATCGGCTTTTGTTTTAATTCAAAGGTGTATCGATTTATGTTAAAACACCTGTTATAATGGTTCGGTCATGTTATGACGTCAGGTGGAGTTGTAGGGATTCAAAAAAATCCACGCAACAGTATAAAGAGCGGAAAGGATTGAGGAGGGGGTGCAGTTCTGCTTTGGCGACAGGGATAGGTAAAAATGTTTAAAATACATAAAATATTTATAAAATATCTATAAGAAATAGAGGAAAATAAAATAGTAAGCAGTATTAAAAGTCATACTACACGTCACATTTCTGTTTTCTTCAAATTTAATGGTCTGTGGCAAGGGACCATGTTTTCAAAATATACTAAAACGTGTTTTATGTTTAATGTAGTTATAATGTCCACACCGAAATAAAATGTTTGTAAAAAATATCTATATGATTTTTTTTTCGCTGTTTTTTCATCAACTCTAATTTTCTCCAACAAAAATATACGTTCCCTCCATTGGGAAATCGAGTTGCAGAAGTTCCAATATATTTATTTTATATTATTTTGTGTTTTTAGTAATTTGCCAAACTAGGTTTTTCATTTGTAAACAATTATTTGTTTTGTATTGTTTTAAGTGTGAAAAATATTTTATTAAAATCTTGGACAAAATAAAATATTAATTATTCATGTAGTGTGGACCACTGTGGCGGCTGGTGCATTTTGGGTATACCAATATCTCAGTTATTAGACATGGGACCCACACCAAGTTTATAATAGTTTATAATGACATTAAATAAACAAGTTCGGCGCAAACAGGATTTAAATTGAAGTTTGCGAAAAAAGTTAGTTTTTCCTGTTGCCTCACCCGCCTCCAGGCCCCCATATTTCAGATCATTCAAATTAAAGTGGTGCAATTTATTATCTAGGTACTATAATTTATCGACAAATTTAAAATTTTATTTAAAAAATCCAAATATTACAGGTTTTATACCATTTGAAATATTTTTTTATTTTAATAAAATAAATAATAAAAATTTAAAATCGAATAAAATCTGTAATATTTGGATTTTTTAAATAAAATTTTAAATTTGTCGATAAATTATAGTAAATAATAAATTGCACCACTTTAATTTGAATGATCTCAAATAGGGGGGCCTGGAGGCGGGTGAGGCAACAGGAAAAACTAACTTTTTTTCGCAAACTTCAATTTAAATTCTGTTTGCGCCGAACTTGTTTATTTAATGTCATTATAAACCATTATTAATTTGGTTTGGGTCCCATGTCTAATAACTGAGATATTGATAAACATAAAACAGTGGTGTATGGTCTAAGGGTTCTGCGGGTTTAATTAATTTCGACATAGTTACAGGTTTAAGAGCAGACAATATTGTAAGTAATTTACAATATTTTAAACTTTTTCGAGCATCAAAAAGTGATTTTAGTTTTTTAAACTAATATTTTTTTTTACTTTGGAGTCTTAAAATTCATTTAGTTAGTTTTACGATTCTTCCGCCATATTGAAATTAAAATTACTTCTGCTTGACAAACAAAAGAACATAAGAAAATTTACTGCAACCAATTTACATGTTTTAACTCGGTATTTTTTTATAAAATTTTAGAATGTTTTTAATTACGTTTTATTTTATAAATGTTAACATACCTTTTTTAATATTATGAAATAATTTTTATTTTAAAATTAATAATACCTACACTGTTCGAGTTTGTTATATTTTATTGAGTAGCTATTTATTAATGTATAACTAGATAAAAAACAAACACTGTTTTTTTCACGATTTTATTTTAATTTAATTTGACAATTGTTTCGCTAACACAGTAGCTTCTTCAGATTTTGTTTTTCTAAAGAAGCTACTATGTTAGCGAAACAATTGTCAATTTAAATTAAAATAATTTCGTGAAACTCAAAAAACAGTGTTTGTTTTTTATCTAGTTCTATACATTAGTGACATGGAGTTTCATCAAGTAAAGGTCGAAACAATAAAATAAAAAAATTTCTATATATTCCACAAGAAAGTAGTCTGCATATTTACAATGTACAAACTATTGATTTGAATCCATTATATCCTTTAACCCATATCTCTATTATAGCTATAATAGCTTGTAAGTTAAACATCTAACTTCAAAGTCCTGTTTTAAATTTAGAGACTTTAGTCAGAGCACTTAAAGAACTTACAATTTAGGTGGATGCACCTGGATACAATATTAAATTTTCGTAAAAAAGATCCCATGACCGTTCTTCTTCTTCCTATAACTCCTTAGGGCACTTTTCAAGGTGTTTTTAAAGCTTAGTTCGAAAAGTTCTCCATTATACCTTCTCTTGTCTGTCCTTTTCCCTAGGGCATATATATATTTTTTGGTTTATATTTTTCTTTATACATTTTTGTTTTAAAGGGTGTATCAATAAGAGCGCAAGATTTGAATTTCGCCTCAGTTTGGCAACCATGATGTCACATGATTAATGACATGACAGATTGATAGGAGACAGATGGAAGTTTGTAAATATGGAGCATTACACGATAGAACAACCCGTCCTGATTGTTAAACACTATTATCAAAATGATAAAAGTTTCATTGCCACGATTCGTAAAGGGCGTCCAATATTTTTTCGAAATAATGTTCCTAATTCACCTACTGTGAAAAAAATAATCGAAAAATTTCTGTTAGTGATGTGAAACACACGACACGAGCTCTTTCAGAACAAAATATCACAGCAGTTCGCGAGAGTGTGGCCGAGAGTCCAGAGACGTCGATTTGCCATCGTGCACAAGAATTGGACATTACAAAAGCCACTCTTCAGCAAATTTTTACTTAAGATTTGCATCTTCATGCCTACAAAGTCCAATTGACTCAACAACTCCAGCCAAAAGACCATGAACAGCGAAGAGAGTTCACCAATTGGATCCTTGAGCAGCAAGAAGTGAATGCCGATTTTGCTACCAAAATCATTTTCAGTGATGAGGCCCATTTTCACCACTATTTAACACCGTTGGACTTTTGGCTGTGGGGTTATTTGAAGTCACAAGTTTATGCCAACAAGCCCGCCACCATCGAAGCCTTAAAAGCAGAAATTAGACGCTCTATCAATGAAATACCGCCACATGTATTCAATAATGTTATTGCAAATTTTGCCAAAAGAATACGCTTGTGCCAGTTAAGCCGTGGTGGCCATTTACCAGATGTGTTATTTTATACATAATTTCCAAATGTGTACTTTATAAATCAATAAATATTTCAATGCTTTAATACTTAAAACCATGTTTTACTAAACTTTGAAATCTTGCGCTCTTATTGATACACCCTTTAGTTTTATTATGTCCTTATTTGTGGTATATATTTGTCCTTTACCTCGTATCTTTTCTGTATATGTATATTTTTTCCTTTTAAAGTAATTTGTTATCCGATATGGGATTTTCATATTATGTTTGTCGCATTTTCTGCTTTTTCTGTTAGTTGTTCGATATAGCTCTAGTTTTTACATAATATGTAAAAACTAGAGCTATATACATATTATGTGTTTTTATTATGTATTATTCTTGCAGTCTTTCTTTCTGGTCTTCTTCTTTTGAGCTTGAGTTTTTTCATTTTAACTTTTTATCTTTGTTCTATTATTATATTATTTACCATATTTGTTCTATACTTGTTTGACTTAAGTTTCCTACCAATTTCTAATTTGTCTTTAAATCCGTTTAAGAGATACCTTAACAAAATTATCGCTCCTACGGGCGAGACGTGCTAGTTTCTCCGCTCTGTACTATAAATAAGTATACAGGGCTTAATCAGTGCATTTTAAAAACTAAATATCTAAAAGTTTAAAAGTGTGAAGTAAATTGCCACCCCACATGTCGGAGTTACTGAACCACCCACCTTAACAGGTGGTTCATCTCGGCAGGAACCTGGAATAGACCAATTACAAGGGGACAAGGAGCCATCAGCGATATTCAGATAGGTTTTTTAATATTTGCACGTCGCTAATTGCGTAAATAAGAATTCACCGAGCCTACAGGTGTGTTTATACCTTCCCAAGTGATAAATCCGTAGAAATCAACAAGAAAGGATAAAAGAGTTGAACAGGGTTAACGAACCCTACATTAAATGAACCAAAGATACCGAATGCACAGGCAGTTCGACTTAAAAGTAAAGCAAGTTCGACTTAAAACTAGATAGTCTTTGCCGTATAGACAAGTAGTAATTAATAAACACATAAATCTTATGTAAGTAAGCAAACCATTTCCAATATTTGCCTTAAATAAACAAACTGCAAGACCTTCTCGATTATATAAAAAAACAAATAGTAGAAGCAGTAAAAACAAATATACCTAAATGCAATTTCCAAATTGTCAAATAAGAAAAGAAAACGTAAACACATCGAATAGTGGTTTTCAATAAATATCTTTTCTACTACTCAAAAATCTAAATTAGATAATTATAATAAGTCACCAGACTATTCTAAAAAACTTTAAACCCAACCCAATAATGACTGTTGCATTCGGTAAAATTTGTCTAACCATTAGCGACTGCCTTTCCGCTGGGACAATGAGTCAATAACAATAAACAAACAATAACGAGTCATTTTGAGTGATTCTAAGAGTGTGGGGAAAGTAAAAACAACATCCCATCGGGGCAAACAACTGCGTGCAGCAGATTCCGAATTCCAGCAAATCCGGACAGACCCAAGTAACGTACTAATAACCCAAGCCGCATTCATGAACCCCAATTGAATGGGGTCATTACTAATACCCTGGTTAAGGGGAGTCCGGATTGTACTTAGTTTTGGGTCAGTCAGTCAGTCAAGGCCCCCAAAAACCAACTGTTGTTCCATCCTTATCCTACACTTCACTAGCCTAAATCGGGCGTATGGTCGGCCCGGCGACAAAATTCCGGGAATGGCCTTAACCATCGAGACTGTCATCCACGACCTCCTAGGGAAGATAAAAAAGTATAGTTTACTATAAGTAAACTATACTTTTTCTACGACAAAAACTTAATAATATTTAAAAAAGATTTAAATTAAATATTTGTATAAAACGAAATCTATAAAGAAATAGAGTAACTCGCGTAGCAATTTTTAACTTGGAAATCTGTATTACCGGCGCGCCAGTCAAAATATCAAATTTGTATGGTGAATCTAAATTTATCCCTTAAAAATATTTTTCCATATGGACTAACAACCGTTTAAATATATTTATATTATAATGAAATAAA